CACTTTAATTCTGCTCTTCTGGGCGCGTCCGCGCCTGATGTCTGGAAGCTGGCCAGAGTTGCGATGATTTACAAAGGTGGCAATAAAGATAGTAAGCTGCCCTCTTCTTATCGTCCAATCTCTCTTGCCAATACAATTTATAAGATCTATTCATCTATGCTTCAGCATAAACTCGCTTCCTCTGTCGATTACTTGATTGGACCTCGGCAGTTTGGATTTTGCTCTGGCCGCTCTGCCAGTGAACCCCTTTTCATAATCCGTCGTCTCATTGAGCTGTTTGAGCGGCATACTGCCCCCCTATACATTTTGTTTCTTGATTGGGCTCAGGCCTTTGACTCTGTTGACCATGCTTATGTGGAGTCTGCTCTCTTCCGCATGTCCGTACCGGAACCTCTTGTCCGCGCCATTATGGTCCTTTATGATGACTGCACTTTTTGTTCAGGATGGCGACCACAGTTCTGACGTGTTCGTGCTCCAACGGGGTATCCGGCAGGGCTGTCCGTTGAGCCCTTACCTTTTCATCATTGTTCTTAGTGTCCTCATGCATGACTCCTCTGTGAGTTTCCACCGCCGTTTTTCATACACCCCTTGGACTTATTCCGCGGATAACCCGCTGACTGATCTTGAGTATGCTGATGATACTACTTTGATTTCTCGGTCTCTTGATACGATTCATCGGCTCCTTCACGTTCTCCAACACGAAGCTCTGAAGAGGGGTCTGCGCCTGTCTCCCTCGAAGTGTCAGCTACTTGGTATCAACACGGACAACCCTGTCTTCTTGTCAGCTACCGTTTCTACGGTTCGCGAGTGTCGCTGCGTTTTTTGCTTTGGAGATGATCCTCTCGGCACTCGTGTCGATCCAGTTGACACGTCCAAGTATTTGGGATCGCTTTTGTCCTCGAATGCTTCCTCTCAGGCTGACTCTCGACATCGTTATTGTCAGGCCTCCGCAGCATTTCGTTGTTTGTCCCCCTTTTTTCGTCACGCCTCCATCACTACCCCGCGCAAATTGCAGGTTTATTCCCAGATTGTTCTGGCCATTCTTCTTTATGGCTCCGAGTCTCAGGTTTACACACCCGCCCAGCTCACCCGGTTTAACTCCCTTCATTTCAAGGCTGTTAGGCAAATTCTAGGTGTTAAAACCAGCTTTTTTCATCGCGTTCTCCAGCCTTCTGACGAGCTGTGCTCCAACGAACACTTGCTGCGCTTGGCCCACGAGCAGGCTCCCAGTTTGCGTGCCCCTACCCAGATTATTTCCCAAAAGCGTATTGAATACCTTGGTCATATTCTCCGACATGCGAACCAGTATGAGCACACAGTTTGTTTCTCATCCGCCCATGCTTACCGACAGATTGCCTCCCCTTACCGTCGCGGGGCTCCACGTGCTCACTGGCCTGAAGTTGCCATGACAGAGGCCTACCACCGATCTCTCCTTCGCAATGCTGGCTCCTTTCCTTCGCCTTACGATCTTGCCCATGATGCTTACCAGTGTGGGACCTTGTCCATGGTCAAACATTACAACGGACACTCTATGCCCGCTTGGTTTGATAATACTCGGATGTGGCGTTTACTCCACCCTCTTGCTCAGTCACGTTCCCAATGGAAACTGTTGTCTTTTCCGAATCGACGCAGATGATTTTTCAAGTGCACTGCTGACATGTGTTCTGCTTGGGACGCATTGCGCTGTTCAAGAAAAAAAGGGGTTTCGGGGTTTAGGGGTTTTGGGGTTTTGGGGTTTCGGGGTTTAGGGGTTTCGGGGTTTAGGGGTTTCGGGGTTTAGGGGTTTCGGGGTTTAGGGGTTTCGGGGTTTAGGGGTTTCGGGGTTTAGGGGTTTTGGGGTTTTGGTGTTAGGGGTTTTGGGGTTTAGGGGTTTCGGGGCTTAGGGGTTTTGGGGTTTCGGGGTTTAGGGCTTTAGGGGTTTAGAGGTTTAGGGGTTTCGGGGTTTAGGGGTTTAGGGGTTTAGGGGTTTCGGGGTTTAGGGGTTTTGGGGTTTTGGGGGTTTGGGGGTTTGGGGTTTAGGGGTTTCGGGGTTTAGGGGTTTAGGGGTTTAGGGGTTTCGGGGTTTAGGGGGGGCTTAGGGGTTTAGGGGTTTCGGGGTTTAGGGGTTTCGGGGTTTAGGGGTTCAGGGGTTTAGGGGTTTCGGGGTTTAGGGGTTCGGGTTTAGGGGTTTGGGGTTTAGGGGTTTCGGTTTGGGGTTTAGGGGTTTCGGGGTTTAGGGGTTTAGGGGTTTAGCGGTTTCGGGGTTTAGGGGTTTAGGGGTTTGGGGGTTTCGGGGTTTCGGGGTTTAGGGGTTTAGGGGTTTTGGCGGTTTGGGGTTTAGGGGTTTCGGGGTTTAGGGGTTTAGGGGTTTAGCGGTTTCGGGGTTTAGGGGTTTAGGGGTTTGGGGGTTTGGGGGTTTCGGGATTTAGTGGTTTCGGGGTTTTGGGGTTTTGGGGTTTTGGGGTTTCGGGGTTTTGGGGTTTCGGGGTTTAAGGGTTTAGGGGTTTCGGGGTTTAGGGGTTTTGGGGTTTAGGGGTTTCGGGGTTTAGGGGTTTAGGGGTTTAAGGGTTTAGGGGTTTCGGGGTTTAGGGGTTTAGGGGTTTAGGGGTTTTGGGGGTTTGGGGTTTAGGGGTTTCGGGGTTTTGGGGTTTTGGGGTTTTGGGGTTTAGGGGTTTAGGGGTTTAGGGGTTTCGGGGCTTAGGGGTTTAGGGGTTTCGGGGTTTAGGGGTTCAGGGGTTTAGGGGTTTAGGGGTTTCGGGGTTTAGGGGTTTAGGGGTTTAGGGGTTTCGGGGTTTAGGGGTTTTGGGGTTTTGGAGTTTTGGGGGTTTGGGGTTTAGGGGCTTCGGGGTTTAGGGGTTTAGGGGTTTAGGGGTTTCGGGGTTTAGGGGGGGTTTAGGGGGGGTTTACGGGTTTTGGGGTTTAGGGGTTTCCGGGTTTCGGGGTTTTGGGGTTTAGGGGTTAGGGGTTTTGGGGTTTAGGGGTTTCGGGGCTTAGGGGTTTAGGGGTTTCGGGGTTTAGGGCTTTAGGGGTTTAGAGGTTTAGGGGTTTCGGGGTTTAGGGGTTTAGGGGTTTAGGGGTTTCGGGGTTTAGGGGTTTTGGGGTTTTGGGGGTTTGGGGGTTTGGGGTTTAGGGGTTTCGGGGTTTAGGGGTTTAGGGGTTTAGGGGTTTCGGGGTTTAGGGGGGGCTTAGGGGTTTAGGGGTTTCGGGGTTTAGGGGTTTCGGGGTTTAGGGGTTCAGGGGTTTAGGGGTTTCGGGGTTTAGGGGTTCAAGGGTTTAGGGGTTTCGGGGTTTAGGGGTTTAGGGGTTTAGGGGTTTTGGCGGTTTGGGGTTTAGGGGTTTCGGGGTTTAGGGGTTTAGGGGTTTAGCGGTTTCGGGGTTTAGGGGTTTAGGGGTTTGGGGGTTTCGGGGTTTCGGGGTTTCGGGGTTTAGGGGTTTGGGGGTTTCGGGATTTAGTGGTTTAGGGGTTTAGGGAAAGCAGTTCTGCATTTATAGGCCGAATTTATTCGTTTGGGGAAGCGATCAAAGGCGAACCAAAATACAACCACCATTTTGGAGGGTCCAACCAAAAAACTGGCACACCCCGCGAGAGGGAGTCAAAGAAGAGCTCGGCCTTGCAAATGAGAGTGGTCTTTCTACGGGTTGATTCCCCATTCTTTTCAACCATCGTTGTTTTCAAAAACCGGCTGTTTCCCCGGAGTTTTGGAGGTTTTGTAGAAAGAAGGATGCCTGGAAAGATATGGAAAGAATGGGGAAGGTACCAATAGAACTGTGTGTCCAAAGTTGTAGGGAGCAACTGCCTTGTGGATAACGGGACTTTTTTTGGACATGGTTCAACAAAAAACGCGCCCGGGTCCCAACTTGTCTGCTTTTTCAGCCAACCAAGATCCCAAGCAGGGTAACCAAATGCAGTTGCTGGGGGAAGTGCTGGGAGGTGTGTTCCTTTTTTTGGGGAACATGCGATGAGCCACGGCCTTTCTTGGTTTGTGTGATTGCCCTCCCCATAGCCCCTGCTAGGCGCATGGTTTGCGACACCGACCCATTTCTGGGAACTGGAGGATGGGGATAGGGGGGATGTAGAGGGAGAAGGTCATGGGAAAATGTGCCAGCATCCCCAAGAACTGCTTTTGCTTTTCCCATTTCCAAGATCCCGCGCGTGCTGTCCAAAAAGCTCTTGCTGGGGCGTGCTGGGAGGTGTGTGTGTGTGTCTTGTTTTAGGGGAACTTTGTTTGTTTGTCAACCGGGTTATAGCTTCATCATGTATGAAAGTCCAACCTTGAAAAGATGACACGTCCCACAGGTTTTGGCTTGTTTCCCCCGGTGCCCTATGGGAGGGGATACGATACTCCAAAAGTCAGAAGGGTTCCGAGCCGGCGGAAGATGGAAACGAGAAACCCTGAAATCATTCATTTCCTCAACGGAAATACCAATACACGTTATGGTTTCAGCCATGCGTTTCCTAGGTCCCCCAGTAGTTCTCTTTCTCACCCTTTTTTGGGGAGGGTTCCCCTACCAGAATAGACTACAGAAAAAAAGGGTACCCTTGTTCTAACCTCTCTACTGGAGAACCTAGCCAACAAACGTTATGGTTCCAACCATCGTTTCATATGTCCTTGCTGCGAAATTGGATTTCATCAAATAAGATAGTCTGTATTTTTTTGAGGGCGTCCACAAAGATCCAAAGGTTTTCCTCTTGGCTTCCCTTTAGAGCAACCGAACACCTTTCAGTTGTTCAGTGGCACCAATAATTTGTCATTTTTTGGGTGGCTGCCCCAAAAAGGGTTCCCTTTTTTCCAGGGTCACTGAACAACTGAATTTCAAAAACCAGTTGTTTCCCCGGAGTTTTGGAGTTTGTTTAGAAGGAAGGATGCCTGGAAAGGATGGGAATGGAAGGTAGCCCTAGAAATCAGTGTCCAAAGTTGCAGGGAGCAACTGCCTTGTGGATAAAACGGGATTTCTCTTGGACATGGTTCAGCCAAAACAAGCGCCCGGGTTTCACGGGGTCCAGGCCGATCCCTCGGCAGGAAGCGGTGAAGGACGCCCGGGCGGCGGGGCTCAAAGAGGCTTCCGAGTTGGTCCAGGCCAACGAGGCTCGCTGCGGCTCGCTCGCTCCGGCCTTTGGTGTCGCGAAAAGGCAAAAAGCCAAAAAAATGGTGCGGCGGTTTCAGGTTAAAGCCCCCAAATCTTTGCATTTTGCCAACGGATGTTAGCACTGAAAACCTTTTCGCCAACGAATGAATTGGTTATTTGCATGAAACCACTAAAAGTCAAACTTGTAGCAGGGGAGCGGAAAGCAACCGAGTTAAGGTTGGGCCCCCCAAATGAAGGTCGGCTTTGGGTTTTGCTTTGAACCGGACCCAAAAAGGGTACTAGCACTTGGGTCACAAGAGAAAAACAACCGGCTAGATGGAGGGTAGGGGACAATCCCAGCCAGAAAGGTGCCCTTTAATTTGCTTGCATGGATTTGCGTAGACCTTTTTAATGCCAGGTTTTGATTATGACTCACCTCGCTTCCATTTGGGTGGGTCTGTTTTAAGGTTGGACCCCCTACATGGATTTCGGGTTTAGGTTTTCCTGAAACCCAACCCAAAAAGGGTACCAACTCCAAAAAAAGACACACCCATGTGTTTTCCCCTGTGGGTTGTAAACGTTATCTATCACTACTGACTACAATGGGCCAAAATTATGAGGTGAATTCCGATGTTTAAGGGAAGTTTGAAGGTCCACGTGTATTGTTTGTTTCCACAAGACTGAAGCAAGTGGCGGCTGGTTGCTGGATAGAGGATTCCCCGGTTCAGAGGGAAGCCTGTTTTCATTCAATGGCTGGCGTCCTGTTAAGTGCCCCTTTTGCAATGGTTCATTCGCAGCTTTCGATTGGCGATGTGGTGTGTGACCAAAGATGGCAAACAAAAATGTACCTGGGTTAACTCATGTTCATTCCCCCCCCCCCCATGGACTTGTTTTCCACCTTGCAAGTTTTCCAACAATGGCCCTTCGAGTCCCCAAGACATGCGGAAGGACCAACGGAGAAGCACATGTCAGCGCTGTGTTCAAACCACTTAGGAAATAGCCATGGTTATGGGACTAGCCCCACTTACTCCCTTGTATCCGCAAAACGTCGGAACATCCAATCCACCAAAGGGCCCAACCAATTAAAGATCTTCCTCAGTTGAAGTGAAGCCCTGAGGCCTGGGGCCTTTGGAATTGAGCTACAAATCCGTGGTCTCCATCTCATTTCCCTGCAAAAGGGGTAAGGTTTGTCTTGAGCCCGTGACTCGAACATATATACATGCATCCCAGGCCTTCTTTTTGTTTTTCCGCAAGTCTCGTCAGTCCCGCTTTGTTTTCGAAAGTGATTGCAAGCTGAAGCCTTGGAACACACATTTGAAGGTCAGACTGAATAGACGCTTGGCTGTGGTGGTTCGAACATGTTCCCCTGTTTTGTTCAGTGGATTGTTGCTAAGACGAACCTCTGAGAGTCTTGGCAATTCTAATTACGTCGCTTAAGTCAGGAAGATACCGTTGCCGGTGGCATCTTTGGTTCGCGGCTTGTGCCAAGCTCGGCCCAAAGGAAAGAATCCGTTCGACTCACTTTCGTTAATAGAGAAGCTTGTTTGGATGACTTTCAGTGTTAGACAACAAAGTCCCAACAACCGGCACCTGGGTCCCAACAATTGCATGTTGGTTGCCGTACCACAGGATTTTTGGGCATGGTTGAAAAAAGCAGACAAGTTGGGGCGTGCAGGAAATAACACCGAAATCTCACTTTCCCAGGTTATTGAAACTTGTTTGGAAGGCTCACTTTCAGTGTTAGACAACAACAAAAACAAATGACTTGTGAGGACAAACAGGTACTCGGAACCTTGTTTGAAAGACACGTTGAGTAGACGGAAACAACGGATGACGGCGTTATCCGTGAGACCCCCCAAAAAAAACACACACACACACACACAAAATACCAAAAACACAAAACATATTTAAAAACAAGTACACCACCGTTTTCGGTTTTTCGGGTTTTCGGTCTTCGCGCGCTTGGAAACGGCGGTCAGGTGCTCCGGAAGCATCAGCATCGAGTGGCGGTGCGGAGAGCGGAGGTGGCGCACCAGAAAGCGAGGCAACGGCTGGCAGCTGGGTGGAAGTGAGGTTAGGAATCCCTTGCTTGCTTGGGTTGGCTGGGTTGGCTGGGTTGGTTTGGTGTGGTTGGTTTGGTTGGTTTGGCTTGGTGCGGATGGGTTGGTTGGCTGGTTTGGTTGCTTTCTTGCTTGCTTGTGGGTTGGCTGGTTGGATTGGTCTGCTTTGGTTTGGTTGGATTGGTCGCTTGGTTGGTTTGGCTAGTCTGGTTGGTTCTGGCTGGCTGGCTGGCTGGCTGGCTGGCTGGCTTGGCTTGGCTTGGCTTGGCTTGGCTTGGCTGGGCTGGTTGTGTGGTAGGCATCAACTTGTTGGCCCGTTTCGGTGAGTTTGCCTGGCAGGGGCGATGTTTCATTGGGAAGTATTGGGAGACACCCCGTCTGCCGCGGGGCTTCTGAGTTCTCTGAGGAACCCGCCATTCCGTGAAAGCCAAGGGGAAAGAAATCCACCTGGGCGAAGGTCAAGCTGCTAAGCTGCCGCTTCCTTGACAGATCCGCCCAGAAAAATGGTGGCAGGTTTTCCGACAGAGAAAAACAGCATGTATCTAGTGTTGTTTCGTGTTGGGCATTTGTGCCACAGTGAGACAAGTGTGGTGCGGTCGAGCGGTTAGTCACTAAATGCCCCCCCACCCCCCCCCCCCACCCCATAAATGAGGCATATCCTGTTGAGTGCTGTTTTGTGTTTGTCACCGCCAAGCAGGGTAGGAGGAGGGAACAGCTTGCGTGTGTCATTTTTCTGAGTTGTTATCACATCCATGTTTAAAGGGAGATTCCCACTATTCGAACCACAAACGTGGTTTTCAAGGAAAACCACAAGGAAACAACAAATGTGGTGCAACAAGGAAAACCCACCTAGGTCCCCCAGTGCCCTTTTATCTTTTTCGGGGGAGGCTTCGACTAAAATAGACCAAAAGGAAAAAGTTGGTCCCCTTATTCCAACCTTTTTGGAGGCCCCAGCTCACCCATTTGGTGGGGGGGAGAAGGGGGTGTAGCACCGACTACTTTTTCGTACCCACGACTCAAACAAACGTACTAGCCCACCCATTTGGGGCGGGGGCTCCGGGCCGCAAGTCCGAGGCCCTTGCCTGGCGGTCCCTCACCACGCCCTGCGCGCCGCACGCGCGTGGGGCGGCCTGCGGAGAGGCCGCGGCCGAAAGAGAACAGTGGTCCAGACCCCTGGTTTTTCTTTAGAAAAAAGAAGAAGTTTTTTTTTGCAGACTAAGACCCCTGGAAAAAGAAATACAGGAATATTTTTCCAGACGTGAAATCGATTCCCTTTAAAACCAACTAGGGGATTGAACAAAACATTCATTTCAGCAGATTCGAAGCTTTGGGAATTCTTCGCTGTGGGAAACGGCTGTGGGTCCGGAATTCACCATTTGGGGGGATTGGTGAATTCACCGCCCATTGTAAAACCGGGACTTTAGTGGTTGGATTGGGATGTTCACTGGGGGTAGAATTGGGATTTTGAGCCATCATGGCTGCGGGTCAAAATTGTCAACAGCTGAGGCTACGCAGGTGTGAGTCTACCTTGCCATTGAACAGGGTTCCATTTTGGACCCCTTTTTTTGAGCTACACTCACATCGGTCGCGTGAAGGATGCAAAACTTGTTTCACCAACTTGAAGCTTTGGAGTTCTGTTTTTTTTTTTTTTTGTTTTTGTTTTTTTTTTGTGTTTTTGGTGCTTTTTGGTGGTCCGTTTCATGAGTTGCTGGGTGTTTTTGGAAGAAACCCCAGCTGAAAGCTCCGGGGTCTCTGCCCAAATCGGCTCAAAAGGAGGGCTCCGAGACTGGGGATATCACTGCGCGTACTGAGACCCTTGGACTCTTTTTGAGGGAAACCAGGACCCACTTGCCCATTGGGTTGCTCCCTTTTCCCACTTTTTTGGGGAAGCGTTCCCCTTCAAAGTGAACCAGCCAAGAAAAGGATGCCGATTCTTTCTGCCTCATGCAAATCCACTCATTTGAGAAGAGGAAAGCAATCAGTTACTGGATCATCCCCGAATTTCAAGGCCCCAGAACATGGAACACTCAAGCCGTTTTTAGAGGAGTTCCCTGGAACACCCCGCTTTGCGGGTTCCGTACGGAAATTTGCAGGGGGCTGCCTTTCTGTGTTTTGTGGTTCTCAAGGGAAAGTGAATGGGGGGTCTTCATATACTCCCAACATTTCATTCCGTATTCACAAACTACCAGTACAGAAGGCCAAGCCGGGGAGCAGAAGTTAGTTTCAACGTGCGGCATGTTTGCTTTGCGCGTGGTTGTTTTTCCAGGAATGTGTGAAGCCAAGTGAGTGAGTGAGTGAGTGAGTGAGTGAGTGAGTGAGTGAGTGAGTGAGTGAGTGAGTGAGTGAGTGAGTGAGTGAGTGAGTGAGTGAGTTAGTTCGCTGGTTGGACAAACACGTTTGCAATTGTATGAATGATCAAAACGCTTCCATGTGTATACCTGGGCCGCACTGGTGTGCTCAGCTTGGTTGAAAGTAGATTCCATTAGCTTGGCACCCGGAGCCCAGCAATGCGGACCAAAAGGACCAATATGTTGCCAGTTGAGCCACAGCCAAAACCCGGGTAGATGAAGCTTAGGGACAATCCCCTTGCCACAAATAGCTGCGGATATCCGCCTTCTTAATTCTTGAAGCATTCTGGGTAGACCATTTTGATACGGGGTTTTGGTTATGACTCAGTATGAAGCCAAGGGCACTCCGCGGTAGGGTGTGACACCCCTTGCTGAGCTGTTCGCGTGTGCCGGCGAGTGGCTGGGCAGACGACTGGCTCCAAATCCACAAGAACATCCACTGCACAGCTCCGGCGTTAGCGCACGGATCTCCAATCGGCGCTTGCGGAGAGATGGCGCGACTCAACCAAAAGGGGCGAGCCTCACAGGCGCTTAGGCCACAAGTCGCCCTTGGAATCCCTGGAAGGTCTGGTTGGCACTTCGGTTGATCTTAATTAACTAGGTCTCTGAGTAGTGCCCTTTTACCTTTTTTTTTTGGAGGGCTCCCCTAAAATCGACAGAAACAAGTTGCTACCCATATTCTAACCTCTCTACTGGAGGACCTAGAAGGGAGACCCAGCCCAAACAAGTTTGAGCCAAGGTGTGGTTTCCTTTGACTCCAAGAGCTTCCGAGCCCTGCCGCCCGTTTTCTCTCGGCGAAAAATCCGCAGGCGGTGACGCAGAGCGCGTCCGCGGCGCCCTTGCTGCGCAGCTCCGGGCGCCCGCAAGAGGCGCGGCCGCAGCTCGCTCCGGGGACGGACGGTTTCAGTGGCAGCACTTGGAGATGGGCATGGGTCAAAATTGAACGACCAGAAAGCCGCAGGTTTTAGTCGTTGGTTCCATTTACCAGGGTTCCATTTTGGCTACCAAGAATTCTTGACCAGTGACTGCCAAGGAAGAAATCATCCAAGAAGCATTCTATCTCTCATGGACACTCCCGAACGAAGAGAGGAGTGGATGGTTGCGACATGGATTTGGCTCGAAATTTAAGCGATTGGAGGGGCAAACCGCAGGTGTTGGTTCATGTTTTACTTAATTTCCAGGGTTCCATGTTGGAATACCGGTTTTTTGAGCCACAGCCACATCTGTTCGCACGAAATGAAGTGGACGAATATGGTTGAAACCATGACGCTTTTCGGGGAATCGAATCATTTCTGTTTTTTTCTTGGTTGGTGCAGGATTTCGCCCATCCACAGCATCATGCCGTTTTTTTGGGGGGAATCCTGTCTAGTTTCATTAGATTGCGCGGAGCGCACCTGGGGAGAATGGGAACCCGCAACAATTGGAACCCAGAGGATTTATCTCATTGTAGTTTTTCCTCAAGGCTAACCTTTCGACCTTGCCGTTTCTCCAAGGTTCATGTTGGCCCCGAAAGGTTACCCTTTTATTTTGTGTGTTGTTCACGTATTCGCTGTTGGTTCGTGTACTACTTCGTGAATAGGTACCTCTTTGATTCCCTGTACTACTTCGTGTTCGCCCACCGCAGGTTATCAGCCGTACCAGCTAGAAGCTGGGGCTGGTGGCCCGGTTGCGGGACGTGACCCGCTAGCTCCCCCTCGCCTACGTGTACGAACGATGGCGTCTCCTGGAGCTTCGCACCGTGGGCCCGGCTTCGTGGACGACGAGGCCAACGCCCTTTGCGGCAATGCCGCACCCTCTGCCCACGGCTTAGACAGCCGGCTGTGGCCTCTTCCCCCGGTGATGGGCGCAGAGCCCAATCCCGGGGTTGTCACGGACAATTGAAATCCTGTCGTATTTGATGAGGAACGGCGGCGGTGCTTCAGATCGAGGACGAACCCCCTGTAGACAAGGGTGCGGTCCCTCCGAACCAGGAGCTCTCGTCGATTTCGCCTACCCTCCCATTCACGGCCTTTCAGATCGAGGACCAGGTTGTTCATCCTGCAGAACATCCGGAGGCTGCTCAATCTTGGTCCCTTACATGGGATCAGTTTGACCAGCTCCTCGGAGGTGGGGCGCAGGCTACCCCGACTGACTTCCACTCGGGTGCCCCCTTTACGGTTGGGAACATTGACATTCAATCCCTTTTTGATGCTGATTGGGATCCCAACCCTCCGACCTTCCCGACCCGATGTGCCCTTTGCTGCCCTGCCTGCGCATGACCCCATTGAGGAAGACCCTGACGAAGGTGAGGGTGACCCCATTGAGGAATTTTCCCCTTCTCATGTTGCAGGTCTGGCACAACTCGATTCGGGTGATCGGGCGATTGAGGATTGGCCGTCCTCCTGTCTCAGGTTCCAGATGTCGCTACAACGCTGGCCCAAATGCCACCCTCAGGTACCCGAGAAGAGGATGCGAGCCGCTACAACGCCGGCTCAATTCCAGCCGAACCGTCCTTATCAGGTACTCACGGACAGGATGCGAGCCGCTACAACGCTGGCTCAATTCCCTCGAACTCAACCTGATCAGGTACCCGAGATCGGGATGCGAGCAGCTACAACGCGGGCTCAAATGCGCAAAGCCCAACCTCAGGTACTCATGGACCGGATGCGAGCCGCAAGACAGCAGCCTCAAATCCATTGTCCGCATCATCGAGAACCCACGCGACTGGGTTCTTTTGGTACTTTGTGGACATTCTGAACTTTTTGATTCCCAGGGCTACTTCGTGTTCGCCAAAAACCACATATTTTAACGCCTCCGGCTCAGACCGCCGACGTTACAGGCCTTTCCCCCCCCCTCCTAAGATCTATTCCCCTCCCTTCCCAAGGGCCCAGAAGGTCAACCTTTTATCTGTGGGTCTTTTGGGCATCAAGCGACCCAAGTAACCCTTTTGGGCAGCTGAAGTTTGGGAATCAAGTGACCCAAGTAACCCAGGCCCAGCGCCTCGAGGAGGCGAAAGACGACTTGGCCAGGACACGAAGCGAGCGCGCGCTTGATCCGCGCGCGCGCTCGATAAGCGGAGAGAGTGGCACGGGTTTAAAGCCGAGTTGGAGGTGGTGCGTTTGTTTGGAGTTGGGATACCCTTTGGCTGGTTCAAAGGGAACCAAAGTAACAATTTCATCTTGGCCCTTTAGTTCTTCACAACTACTGGGATTCACATGGCAGGATTGCGTGAGGATGCTGAGCAAGCTTCATGCAGAGGCTAGGAATGTGGTACAATCATGCTGCACACATGCCATACATGGTACAGCGCTCAGCAAAGCTGACACTGAGGCACTGAGACTTCTAGACACATGGCGTGGTAACATTTGCGGGCTTGTTTCTGTTGGACGCGCAGCTTGGAACCTTCTTGTTTCAACACATTATGGAGGGGGGGGGGGGCAAATACGCACATTTTGAGAGCTTGGTGGAAAACATGTGTGGTCTCAGGAGTTTAGTCTTGGTTTAGTATTGGCAAATTTACAATTAGTATTTGCGATGTTTGGCGCGGCTGGGGGGAGTTTTATTATTAGGAGTAGGTTGATGAGTAGGAAGAAGTGATTACTACTTAATTAATCATTTCAGACATAGTACATATGCTAGGCTTCAAACCATCCAAAACGGGTTCCCCTATTTTGATAAGCCCAGATGTCCAGCATATTCTGACCCTCGCGTTGTTGGCTGCAAGCCGGCAGGAGCTGGTCGAAGCTTGCCGAGCAGTCGCTGAAAGAAGCCGCCTACATGTGCGACCTGCAGCAAATGAGGCCCCTTGCTATGCATTCTTTGCATCCTTTTACCACTTATGAGCATAGATGCCCATTTTAGGTTAGTCTGGTTCAGCTACGCTCGTGAGTTCTCAATGGTTCTTGTCAAAGCCACGCCCCATCCAAGTTGCTGCCGCGGCATGACAAGCTTACTCGGATTTGGCAACAGGACCCTCCGGAACCATAAGCACAGGTCAAACTGTACCAGGCTCTAAGATAGTGTCCACGACCCAACCCGGACCCATGCAATCCACCACCAATGGTTGAATGGGGATATACGGCCACCGTATAGCCACAAAGGGTATGTATACCGTGCATTCCCGGCTTTTTCTGGGTCCGGAGGTGGAAACCATTTGGGTATGGGTCAGAACTAAACCACCAGGGGACCGCAGTTTTAGTCAATGTGTCAATTTACCAGGGTTTCATGTTGCGTACCTATTTTTGACCCACAGCCATTTGAAGGCGAAGGTTTTCTTCATGGCATCCGAGGTCTGCCGTGAAGGAGTGTGGAGTGCTTCGAGCCATGGCTACACCAGTACATGGGACCTAAATACTTGCAACAGGCGTTTTCCCTTCTCGCCACATTTGCTTGAGGATTTGTTGTAGTTTCCCCTGTTGGTTTGAAAGGGACTCGATTTCACTACTGGACATATGAAGTTTCGGAACCTCAAGTGGCAATCCACCAGTCAATTGCAACATTTGATTTGGGGAAAATTTAGTTACTGCAGTGTAGCCTATTGTTTCAGAGGTGAGTCTGCTTTGGAGTTGGTCATTACCCTCTTCGGGCGACAAAAAGGGAAGCTGAGCGGAAAGGACACTCGAAGGAATGGCGAAGTTGGGCTCGCTTTGGCAACCTGGGTCCGCAAAGTCGGGTGGAAGAATGATTTGGATAGCGATTGCTTCAGGGCAACCCAACCCCACCATCAACCCTCTCATTGCCACCCGCACGCCATGGTAAGGTCTTAGTAAGGGTTGTTTGGCCTGCCTTACTTCGGCCTTACTCAGGGGATGCTTGGGTGCTGAATGGCCCCTAGTCATCAGCGAGGGCGTTCTTCAAAACGCTGACCCTCTGCAAGGACAAATTCAGGGCACGCAAAGGCGATGGCTCGATCATTTCATGCCTTTGAACAAGCCCCTCACAAAGCCGCTTAAGTAAGGTAAACAAAGTACACATAGTACATTAATTTGATGATAAGCACTTTTCAAGCACGCTAAGGGTCCCGACTCCGACTATTTTTGGGCCCTCAAACTGGCTGTTTTTCCATGGGCCCCTGAAAAATCGGGGTGGGGGCTTTTGACTGGAGGGCCGAGAAACCTGCTGAAGGTTCAGGCTCTGCGTTTGCCACAGGAAATTGCCTCGGCGCCGGGGAGGTCGAAAAGGAGTGGCTGTCGGACAAGGAGCTGGAGCAGACGTTGCTGGAGATCATTGCCGAGGAATCAGGCGCTTGCCTCGGCGGGAGTTTCGGGAGCGGAAAGCCGTGGACCTTGTCTAGGTCCCCCAGCCTTTCACCTTTTAGGCCTTGTCAGGCACTCCCCATTGAAGCGCCAAGAGAAACAGCGTGTGTTGGGTTCGCGGCGGATCTGTAAACCTTCGACCTGTTTGCTTTCGCCCTTGCTCCGTTTCGCCGGGGAACCAAAGAGCGCAACCTATGGGCAGTTGGGAGCCCAACCAGTGGCGCTCGGGGAGGACTTTCCTTAAAACTCCAATGCGCAAAGGGTGCTCCTTCAATGAGGATTCCATACGCGTTGTAAGCAGTGCAAAAGGAAAATCAAAAGGAACGCCCACCATTGTTCCCCACAGGGCGTTTTCGGCAAACCTAAGGAAACCCTCGTCGGGGTGTTCGTCGGCCGAGGTTCGAAGCTGGCCATGCGGCAGAAGTTCGAGCTCTCGCTGAACTTCGTGCTGGCGACGGTGACCCTGGAGACTGACCAGTGGGCCTTCAACGTGGCCCGGATTCCGATACGTCTCTCCATGGCATTTTGTGGGAGGGCTACACATCCAAAAACATTGTTGGTCCCCAAATCATGGAACTTCTCTTTGGTTATGTTCACTTCTGCTCAAATCACGTAAGTTGGTTGTAACCATGGATATCAGTGGGGCCCCTAACCCTGGCCGTAAACTCACGTTGCTTACAAGCGAAAACGGTACATTCAAGCGGTGCCCCCGGATCGTTGAAATGATTGCACCTTCTAAGGCCGAGTCACCAAAAGGGCGTGTGTTTTTTTGTAGTTGGTACCCCTGTTTCTGTTGTACAGGGAAACCAGGAGGAAAACTAAGGTTTCGGTGGTCCCCCAAACAAGACACGCCCACATATCGGCCCCGCTCAGTGTAACCAGTTGTCCCCCTGGAACTCTACTGCTATTGGGTTGGATCTTTAGACTCTAACGTTTTGGGAAATCAACGGGGTTTCCATTAAGCCCACAAAAAGTGAAACTTTTTGCAGAGGGGTCAACCGCAACCAAGGGAATTGCACAATTCTTGTTGTTTCTGGGCCCAGTTCCCTTAGTGTTTGTCACGCGCCGACGCTAAGATGAAGCCCGGCTGTGAAGTGTCAAACTCAACTTCTCCAGTCCTGGATGTAGGGATCGGATCAATCGTACTTATCAGTTACTTGTCTAGAATCCCCAAGCCCTAAACTCTCAACCACCCGGGGGACTTCTCCCTATGATGTTGGGGGTATCTCCTCAAAAAGGGGGAATTATCCCTACAATGTTGAGGTTATCACCGATTTTAAGCTGGTATTTTGAGGGTCCAGGTGCGCACAGCTACACAAACAGAGCCTCCGCCCGTCAGATGCGCAGATCCGAGGCGAAGAAGTGGATGGTGCTGCTGCACCAGGTGCTGGGTGATTCCAATGATCGGGGGAAATGAATCCATTTTGGTTTTTGTAGGGTTCCTTAGAGCCTCAGAGTCACTTAGTTGCCACAAATCGCCCTTGGAAGGTTGCCACTTTGATCTTAATTAAGTAGGTCCCCCTAGGTGCCAACTTTGACCGTTTCTTTTTTGGTTGGGAGGGTTCCACTAAAATCGACTACACCAAAAAGTTGGTACGCGTATTCCAACCTCTTTAGTGGAGGACCTAGGTTCAGGGCTTGCCACGTACAAACCAAAGGGCCAATTGGTGGTCACTATGCTTGCTGGCATCGAGGAATTTCTATCGGCAAAAGATTGGTTGACTTGCCACCCTGTAGACCGCCAAAATCACAATTGGTCTGCCCTTTTGTAGCGAGCTCACTGATCCGGGAAGAAAGGAGCTGATAAATGGTCCTTCACTTGGCGATCCCTTAATTGAGCTTTCGGAATTATAGCAACATTTGCAGATTGGTGATTACATATATACTATACTAGCTGGCAACGGGGATTTACCGGCAAAGGGTTTGAATAGTCTGGTTGAATCCTGTTGAAGCAATGGCGTTTTAACTCCACCATTCACCAATCCCTGATCCCTGAACGAAAAACTAGAGGATATTCTTTCAATGATTGGTTGGCTAAAAACTGAGGCTAGTTAACTCCACCGGACTCCAACTACGGTTTTTCAACAAGTTTGTGTCCACGGATGGAGTATCCGCACGCAGTTGTTTGAACAATAGTTGTCTAACCAAGGTTTCTGGTTCAAATCTAAACCGTGGCTTCAGGTTCCATTGAACAGGTACCCCACAGAAAGACACATTTGGAATGATCTTTCCTGGAGGACCCACCACACCGAATTCTGACATTCACCAAAGGCTTGCTCATCGGAATTCGTACCCACCTGGTCTTTCCGTGTACCCAAAAACGGCCGGCTTCCTTAAAAATGCCCTTTTAAACCTACCAAAAAAACAAACAACAAACATGCTCTTTTTGGTTTCCCTTTAAGCACCAACCTGCGAGGGTACCTGCAGCCTCAAACTGCCCTTAAACGATAGGACATCACCCCATAGTTTGGGGTTTTCACTCCATTTCCTATGGGTAGTTTGTGCTCCAGTGGCACAAACATGGAAGTGATCCATCATAGTTGTCAGGCTATATTCTCCCATCAACTAAAATGGAAGTGCAAAAAGGCCCTTTCCAAGAGGAAAGCAGCCTTTCTACAGGGGTCTGTGCACTTCCATGTTATGGGAGGGTAGCTTTTTACCTTTTTTTGGGGAGGGCTCCCAACTAAAACAGACACCAAAAAGTTGATATGCTTATTCTAACCTCTCTAGAGGACCTAGTTTTCAGGCAGCTTTTTTTTTACATTCGTTCAGGGTTTCAGGGTTTCTACATGGGTTTTCTACATTTCTGTTTTTTACGTGTAGTTTTCCACATGGGCTTCAGGGTACGTTCGTCGAAGAATCCGCAGGTCAGCACGGTGCTGCGCTCCGAGGAGCAGCGCTTCAACCTGGCGCAGCGCCTGGAGGCGGCCACTGGCCTAAAGCCGAAAGCCAACCGAAAGCCAAAGCGCCCCCCCCCCAAAAAAAAAAAGAAAAAAAAGAAGAAGAAACACGCACCTCGTTTGTTAGGTGGTTCTTTGCTTGAAGGCTTCTTTGGTGTTTAGAAAGGTGTTTCTTTGTGTGGCGTTCTTTGTTTGGCGTTTCTTTGTTTGGTGTGGTACCAAAACAAAAGAAACGCAAAGGTGTGCGAAAGGTGCCAAACAAAGGTACAACAAAAGGTACCACACAACAACATACTATTGGGTGTTTCATTGTTGGGTACCTGTTCTTTCTCTCCCCAACAGCACCCTGAAAAAGAGACACCCAAAATTAATTCGATGGATGCCCTCTTTTCTGAGGGCACCATGTTCTTTTTTCTTTTCTTTTTTCTCTTCCGGGGGATCCAGAAGGAAACAAACATTGTGATGTTGTTTCAAAAACATTGCGTTCTGAGCGTCCCGTTGCCACCCTGAGTGGGGTACCCAGCTGCACTTTGTGTTCAATTTCCTGTTCCGGAATAGGCATCTGGCAATTCCCGCGGAGTGGCGGCATTTGATTCCAAGCCCAATGTGAAATTCGAATTATTTGCCGCTGATGCGGAGCCACTAGATTCCTAAAGCCTGGTGTCCTTACTTGCTGTTCTAATCTGCCCCAACACTCATTTGGCTGTAGCTCAAAAAACCGGTACCAAAATGGGTTGCCCTGGTAAGTGGAAGCCTGGACCAAAGCCTGCGGTTTGCCCCTCCGGCTTAACTTTGAGCCACACCGCCGATGGCGTTTGGATTGTGCGTAACTTCGTTGAGAAACATCCGCCCGTGGAACATCCGTGGACATCCCGCAACTCATACTTCACCCGTAGCTCCAACATAAAGCCATAGGCGTCCTTTTTAGGTTGGTTTGGTTGAAAATAGATGGCCCTGGTTTCAGATTGGTTTGAAATCATCTACCCGTGCCATCTATTTTTCCAAAGGGACACCTATGCATAAAGCGTTGTGTTTGAGCACAACATGGTGTTTATCAACCCGCTGCCAAACCGTGCAAACCTCGTGGTTAAACTGTGGACAACCATCCAATGTTAGAACCTCAAATAGATGGATGCTAGCTTCACTGCATCTTCTCACACGCGGAACCCTTGATAACTCAATCCTTGATGAATAGCGCGGTGTGTCATTTTGAGGATCTGTTTTTTGTTTTTAAAGTTCGGGGAGAACGGGTAACACGGCGCCAAAACTCACGAGCCCATTTAGGTAGCGCAAGCGACGATCCAAGTTCATGGGGCTCTTGGGGCAGGAGAGTTTCTGCAATTTGCGAGAGAGAGCGTGGCTAAGGGGAGCTCAAGGAAGGTAAAGGACATGATTTTTTTGTTATTTTGAGTGTGGTAAAAAGCCGCCTTTTTCCAGGAACTTCCCAGCAAGCAAGCAGATGTGTCTTAGCCCGCGAAATGGAGCAAGCAAGCAGATGTGTTGCTCGTGGCATTTTCGGCTCGGCTTGGCTCGCAGGCCGCGAAAGCCCCAAGCTATAGGCTCCACTTAGACTCTTTTCCACTCCTGAAACGCCATCCTGAAGTCCCTTGATGGAGTTTGTGGGTACCTGAGCCTCAAACTCCCCAGAAAGATGGGATTTATAGCCCCTAGATTAAAGGGCGGTTTCCTCTTTTTAACGGGGAAGTTGGAGGGTCCGTCCAGGTAGGACCGCAAGTTCCGCTGTTCCTTGGTGGCACCCAGCCATCCGGTTCCTTAGCTTTTTAGATCCTAGTGTTTAGTGGTAGTTTCCGAAAGCCACTCGAAGTTTTCCACGTTTAGATCCGAAGACGGGCAGCGGTTCCTCGGACCGAGGCTTTGCAGCGCCAAAGCGCGCTCAAGGAGCTGCGGGCCATCCTGGAGGCTGCCCAGGCGGGTTCGGGGCTCGGTCTGCGTCCGGAAGCGATGTTGATACGTCTAGTCCCCCCACGTTTTCCAGAGATCCTTCCAGAAAACAGCCAAAAGCCAGAGCAAAGGTCTTGAAATGAAGAATGGCTGAGCAGAATGGGGAATCAAGCCCGAGAAATGTTTGGTAGTCTATTCCTGGATTGGGGAGGACAGGGGGACAACCCAAAGAATCCACAAAAAATCAGGGGAAATCAATTTGCGTTTGGGGAAGCAAGTGACAATGGATCGAGGCCGCTCTGTTCTAGTTCAGCCACAATCAAGACTGCCTTGGGTAGATGCTTGGGGACAGCCCAACGAGAACTGGGTTCAGACTTTTTGTTGCATGCTTGGTTGCATGGGATGTGGCTTGGCAAACTCTAGCGACCTTCAAGATTGAGAACACGAAGTTCCTTTCTTACTTGCAGGTCCCTTATTTCAGGTGCCTGCATGATGGTGATTGCCCACACGTAATTGGGCAGACAACTCCAATGCCAAGGTTTCCATGACTGGGTTGGTCCCAAAAACTGAACAACATCGCCACTTAAATATCGCAAAGGAAACCACCAGAGATGGTTTACAGGGGTCATTTCCTCATTCCCTGCTGAGCACCAGCATTTTTTCTGTAGAAATCCACCACGTCGAACAAACACATCATCATCTTAGATGCGGCCGTGGGAAAGTTCTGTGCGGAAAGCGGATGCTGTGCGTCCTACCAGAAAGCTGGCCTGTGTCTGTTTTTGGTCAGGGACACCAATAGAAACCGGACTCCTTTCTTGGGTTTGCCAATTTCAATCTCACAGCCCAACCACACCCTGTCCACAATGGCTGCCAGTCCAAGCTGACCTTCGGCAACCGTATATATGATACATACATATATATATATATATGTGTATTTAATACTACAATTGCATACATATATAATACCATGTAATGGCATACCTATATATATATAGGAATTGTTCACTTCGACGCAAGTGAGTGGATGCCAAAATCAGCTCATTTTGTGCGAAGGAAAGCGGAAGATCATGGGTCATGGGCTCTTTTTTTTCCGGAGCTCCCTGCCATTCGCCACCCAGCAAACCAATAGGCAAATTGGCATTTTGCACAGGAAGTGCCTGGCCTGCATCCCTCTGCCCTGGAAAGGGTGCAGCGTCAGATCGAGGTGTGTGAAGGACTGGGCAGGAATCAGCCAAGAGGAGTTTTACAGACACTGCTGTACTCTCAGCACTTGAGACGATATGGAAACCCAGTGGTTAGCGGGCTGGACCACTTCCATGCTCTGTATTTATTTGGGATCTTGGGGAAGACGTGAGCAAACCGCAATGCAGCAGAGACGAGTTTCTTGTGAGGCATGAGTGATGCCACGTACCAATCATTCCTGGGTGTTGACTGTGCGAAGCGGATTCAAGGCTTTAGACCAGAGGATACTCATGTGCATGTGAAACTTTAAGACACTCACTTCCTGAGTTCATGAACTTTAAACTTTTTGGAAAGACCATTTTAGTTCTAGATATGAAGTTTGGACTTTTTTTGGGCCATCCACGCAGCCAGTGAGGACAGCTTTAAGTGCTGGTTTTGGGGGTGTTTCACCCCAGGGAGAAACCGCCGAAGAGGCAGCACCAATGAGGCACTTGGAAGCCAAAGGGTTCCAAGCTGTGCACTTTGGGATGTGATCGCGATCCTTTGACCGCCTTATGGTTGTTGGGAAACCTTTTACATTTTTGCTTATTGCGGTTTAGTGGTTGAAATCCCCACCTAACTGCTATTTTCTGTTTTGTTGCTCCCCTTCCAAGGTCAACCAAGTTATTGGAACTGCAGAGATTCGATTCTTGGATGCACTTGTGCCAGGACGGGTCCGAGCACGCTGGGGTCTTGTTGGAGCCATGATGTCTGCCAGAGTCTCCAGCATGCTTGCGTGCACCTTGACTCGATTTAGTGTCTGGCGACACGTGGGGGGCGGGGCAACAGGGGTTAAAGCAGCAGCCCCATGTTGGGTTGGTCTCCTTTTCGAGGGAACCCAGAAGGAGTGCCGTTAAACAACGGCGGTTTAATCATGTGTTAACAAGATGTTGATGTTGTTAACTCCATCCTGCACTTGAGTTTGCTTATATCATTTTGGGAGGGACATGGTGTCAGGGAAGCCAGCGCATGTGAGCTGACAGTGAACATGGGACTTCCCCATGTCGACAAGCTTGTTGGTCAGCTTTTGGTTTTGTTGCTAGGCCTCTTGAGAAGGCGCAACAGCAGTGCTGAAAGAGAGGAATGTCAAATTCTGACGCAGATCCTCGTGGGCAAACAAAGAAGCGGGGACGGGGTGAGAGTGGGAATGGAGGCGGAGCGCTGCTCAGGCGAATAAGTAAACCAGTAAACCCCATCCCTCATTGCTCCTTACAGCTTCCCATCCCTGGCGTCCCTCATTGGCTTGCTCGATTGGGGCGGCAGCTTGAAAATCCATTTTGCTTTCGAAGGCACCCCCCGTCAGGTGCCAAACTAAGCCGCAAAAATCCGCAGGTATTGGAACCCATGTTTCCACTTACCAGGGATCCGTTTGGGCACTGATTCTTTTGACCCACAGCCATATTAGAGAGAAATAGAGAGAACTTGATTTGCGGCCGAGTACATCCTCACCCCTCTGGCAGGTGTCCAGGGCTCCACATGGGTGCGCACAGCCATCAAAGAGGCCAAGAGCCGGGGTGCCCAGTGCAAGTGGCGGAAGCTTCCCTTACTCCAAAACCAACCCAGGATCCTTCCATTGGGTGAAGTTTTCTTTTTTGCCCCCTGTTGGTTCTAAAGGGAATCTATCACTGGAATCATTTTGAATCAAAACCAGGGCCTTTTTCAGCAAATGGAGTCCCGTGTGGCCTTCAAACAGCCAAGGCAAGTCTCACATGGTGCGAAAGCTTTGAAGGGTCCACCACTTGGATTTTGTTTGGCACCTTTGCCTTGGACACCCCCCCCAGTTCCAGAATAACCCTGAAAGTGGCACGCGATGTGGGGCAGCAATGATATGGCGGGTTCCTGTAAACCGATGCCAACAACGATATGGCTATAAATATGTATATATATATATATTCAGCACATATGGATTGCACCGCCATCCGGTATGTACATATATATATATATATAACATGTGTTGGCGGTGGTTGTTTCAACATGCAAGGGTTGCGTGGACTCACACCTTTTTTATGAGTTTGTTCGGGGTGTCGTTGAAAACGCCGAGCAAAAAGGGTTGTAAGCACCAGATGGCCTTTCCGGGGAAGGAGAGAACCTGAAGATGCATGCTGTCTAGATTCAATCAACTATAGTCTACAGTTGCTCAAAAGCCAAGTTTATGCATCATGTTTTGAGTTTGCCAGCTGATTTGAGAAGGCTTCTTATGTTTGGTTATTCTTGGTGGCTCTTAGCCATCCCCGTAGCTTTTTAGCCTTTTGTAGTTTACATTTAACCCACTAAAACTTAGTCACTCCAGCCCAGTTTTATCGACCTTGGGCAAGCCTGGCCCAGCTCGACACCTTCGTTGAATCTGCCTATTATCATTTGGTGGGTTGTTCGCAACTACTTTTGGATCGAGTTTCCAGAAAGGGAAATGGAGGACACCCGGCGATTTTCCCTCCTCTTCTTTGCTTCTTGGAGAATTTGGGAATGTCCCTGTCTTATTCAACCGCTGGGGTCTTGAAGGGAATTCATCGCTTCATTCCCTGTGGGCGTGTCCTTTTTTGAGGCCCTTTGCGTTTCAAGTCTGGCTGCTTTTCTTCCGGCGAATATTTGTCACTCCGGCGAAAACTTGGTGCTGGAATTGTGGGCGTTGGTCGTAGCTTAGTAGGTTTGGCCGAAATCCTGGTCAACGTGTAGAATCCATCGTCTACACTATTACAGCCCCATGTTGGTCATCTCATTATTGGTAAGTTGAACGCACTCCGAGTGTTGCTGTGCCTCATACATCTCTTGCAACTGGGCACCTGGGCTGGCGATCGGCACAAGGCTGCTCGAAAGCAGCCTTCTCGCCAACGCCCCAACCAAGTGCAAGTCTGCGGCCGGCAGTAAAGCACCATGAACCTCGCAGGGGATGACACGTTCCACACGCGCAGTCGACCCAAATGCCCAAAAAATTGTTTAGCTTCTCAGATTTCTCGAAGACAGGTCTCTCGCTTCTAAGCCCTTGAGTGCGGAATGATGCTCCCGCACACCAACGTATCTCAGACCTCTTGCCTTCGTATCTCCCACGTCCTTAGAAGCATTTCCCTTGTCGGGAAATCGAAAGCAAACCCCATCCTTGTCAGGTTTGGATTCCTATTTTGAGAACCCATTTGGAGGTGTCTTTTTCTGAGTCGCTACCCATTCTTGGCGTTAACGGAAAACCAACAGGAAAACTGAAAAAAGGAACACCCTGTTGTCTTTCTTTTGGTGGCTTTGACGGAACACCAACCGCAAACCCACCAGCTTGGTCTGGTTCCTGCGGAAAAATGAAAGCGTCAAAGCTAACTTCGGGGTACCTGAAAGAACTTCTTCGTTTTGGTGGTTCTAACGGAAAGCTGCGGAGGAAAAAAAAGGAGAAGAACAAAAAAACACAGTTTGGCCTGACTCCCGCAAAGAAGACGGTCGACCCAGTACTGACCCGTGTTTTCCGGGCTTCGGGCGTCGCGGGGCGTCGCGGGGCGTCGCGGGGCGTCGCGGGCATCGCCGCTTCGCCAGGCGCGGGGCTGGAAAAGAGGGACCTGGAGGTGGCCCTTGACTTTTTCGACAGGCGCGAGGGTCAGCGGGTGGGTTCAAGCGACCCCCCACAGCTGGCTGCCTGGACCCTGAAACCTTGGTGGCTCCCAGCCATCCGGTTCCGTAGTGTCCGAATTTAACCCACTAAAGGTTGGTCACTTTTCGCGGGGGGATCCGAAAACGGGCAGAGAGACTGCCCATAAACCTGGCGATCGCCCCAAAAAGGATGGTTGGTGGTGCCCCACGCATGGGTCAGCTGGTTTAAGGGCATTGGTTTAAGGGCAGCTTGCGGAAGAGAGACCAAGCCTGGGTCACCTGTGCCGTGTGCTTCTGGAGGGTACCGGGGTCGGGGGTTGGGCCCACTAAAACCGGGGGTTCTCGTAGGTCACCATGGTGTTCCGTTCAACAAATCGTCGGCCCCTCCGGCCATTTAGGCGGAAAGGAACCCTAGGGAAAGGGTACCCTAAGAAAAAGACAGTCTCTTAGGGTACCTGGACTCTCCAATACCCTTGAAAGTCTGGTATAGCTCAAAACTTGGGGTTTGTAAGGGTAGTTTGGTCCTAGCAGTCTCTTTTTAGGGTACCCTTGTCTTTGTTTGGTAAGACACAACTTCCAGTTTTATGTGTTTCTTGGTCTTTACAAGGTAAGTGGGGATCATGGATCATAAGGTTAACGCAATATGGACGCAGAATCAAAGGCATGATTGGGCCCCCCAAGTTGAGACAAGGGCCATCAAGGGCCAAATCGGGCTGTTCCACAGAGCCTTTGACCACAGGAAAATTGGATTCGGTTGTTTGGATGGACGTCTTCAAATGTAAAGTGATCAGGAATCAACACTGGCACATGAACCTTTCACATGGCCTTAACTCGGAGGATAGGTGTTGAATGCCTGGCCGTGAGTCGTCGGTTGGGCCAAACAAACGCAAAACACATACCCTGTACATGGTTGCAGCATGCAAAATATGCGAGTTTGTCACATGTATACGTGAGCCTGATGGGAGTTACATAATCGACCAGTAATTCATTGCGAGCCAGGAATTTGTCCGAACTGTCCGTAAATTGTGCCGTCAATGCAGGAAGTCTGGGGTCTTTCGAAGTCCGCAGAGTTTGTAATAGGGAGAAGCTTGTTTCTTCCCCAGAATTCGCTCCCCCTGTTCCTTTTTTGCTTTTTTGGGGTTCCCTTTGTTTTCCACTAACCAGGCAAAAAACTATTTTTTTTGCTGGGGTCCTAATTCCAGCCAAGGTTTGGCGAGTCATTTTCCTTTTACCATATATGTGTTTTGTGGTCCCCAAACACGTGGCTTAGTGTTGGCTTTTCCCTCTAGGTGTCCTTTGAAAACTGAGGGCACAGTCTTTCCTGTCGAGGCTTGGCAGCCACAACTAAAACACGGGTAAATTAAGGTTACGTAAGGGAAGGTCACCATATTGAGGTGCGGATATTTGCCCCTTGGATTTCTCATGATTTGGATATACTCCTTTCATACCAGGTGCGGATTACTATTTCAGGAGGCGAGAACAAAGCCTTCAGGAAGCATTTGGGCAGAAGCAGAACGCCACAACAGACATCTCAGTGCCACAATGCCCATGCGATAATTGTTAGTTATTCATACGGCAGCCCCAATAAGATGTATTTTTGCTAGACCCCCTATTTACTCTCCCACCAATTCGCATGGAACCTGACGTGAAAGGGGGGCGCGAAGGTCAGGTTCCATGTGAAAGGGTGGGAGGGTAGCAACCAAGTCAGCTCATGATGTGGCCAGGATGGAGCACACGCGCGCTTTGCATGTCGACTTGCGGCTTGGCATAGAAAACGAAAAGGTGCTTTCGAAGTCCCCTTACTTTCCAATGTTTTTTCTAGGTCCCCCAGGATCGTGCCCTTTTAAATTTTACCAACTTTTGTGGAGGAGGGTTCCCCTACTAAAATAGACTACAGAAAAAAGTCGGGTACCTTTATTCTAACCTCTCTACTGGAGGATCCTCCACAACGATCCAAATAAGTCGCCCTATGGCTATTGAGGTTGGCACCTCTCACCAGGCCGCTTCTTGCCCATGGAAGGAGAAAAAGAAACAAACAACGCAGCCCTTTTGAGGCTGAAGAGAAACCCACCCAAAACAGGGATATATGGTTGTCACTGGGCAACTGCCGGCAATTCAAGTTCAATTTACTGGAGTCCTCTCACTGTTCTGGAGGGGCAAGCGACCGCCTACCAATGCAACAGGCTAGAACATATGCATGACATAATGATATAAACGCAGTCGCACTGCTCCAATGCTCTGGTGGAGACGGACGCACCGAGAGCTCACATCCTGTCATTGCAATAGGTCTAAGGGCGCTTGTATTCTGGAGGCACACACAAAATCGACATGTTGCAATCTCTTGGAGAATTTATTCCCATCGGGCCAGAGTGCTGCACAAATACTGGGTGCCCCGTGGGTTACTATGTGGAAACATCGGGAGGCCGACAACCCATCTTGGTGACCAAGGACAGAGGCAGTCTCCACCCGGAACTTTGTGCAGCTCAGGAGCATCATCAAGCAGATGGACATCGCTTATGTGCGCCCATCGTCATTTGGGGCGATTTGGGGGGAGCCGCAAATCAGGTTCCTGGACCCTCTCAAACACCCCAAAAAGCGGGTCGTAGCCCCGGAATTGCGGCGTGATTTCCCAATAAGGGTAGCTTGAGGCTCAGGTTTGCGTTGTTCGGTACGTCCTTTACAGGTCCTTTGATGTGTCAGTTTATAGGTCAGCTGCTTGGACTAGATGGATTCCACCGGTCTCAGTTTGAGGGTTTTGATACTAAGAGCCGAAGTGTTGACGTGTTCCTTGAATGGCAAGCCGGTGATGTTTCAAGACGTTGCATGGAGCAGATTTCACTTGGAGCTACATAGTCGAACACATCAGTTTCAGGGAGGTTTATCAATCTCTCAAACCTCAATAATAGATTCAGGACGAGTCCCACAAGACTGAACCATGGTGCATGTGTTTTGTTTGACCCTAAAAAGGCTCGAACAGATGGGTTCCAGGATGCGAGAGACGTGTTGGTCTTCAACCGGAACCCATTAATTGGAACTTGTTTAACCTCCCACCGACTAACATGGAAGTGCAAGTGCACAGACCCCTGTAGAAAGACTACTTTCCTCTTGGAAATGGGGTTTCTGCACTTCCACGTTTGTTGGCAGGGTAGGGTCCCCGGATCCTGCCCGCTTTGATTCCCTTTTTGCCTTGCCTGCAGAGCCTTTTTATCGGCCGGAGGTTGGCGAGCCCACGGACCACGTCAGTCGCTGCCGTACGAACCTGGCCAAAGCCAAGCTGGACTTTCTGCTTGAACAGGACGGGCCACGCTTTCGCTGAGGGTTAACGCCAATCAACCAGGGATTTGTCAACCTTATAGTGGTTTGCGAGTACAAAGAGTATGTCCTCGAACGATGAGGCTCCTCGGATGTTGCGTTAGTTTCTCCTGTTTGGTTTAAAGGGAACCTATTAAAACTGCAAGTACATCTCCATCTCCGCCAGACATGCCTGTTCGGTTTTCAAGGGACAAGTTGTGCACCAACTTTCGGCCTGCGTTTTTTTTTTGCAGGGAGCCAAGGTGTTTCCTCTAGGTTTGGCCATTGGGTTATTCTCTGGACTATTATGACCAAGAAGCAGCGCCCCCTAACTTGTCTGCATTTTTGCAAGAACCTCCCAAAAAGCAGTTGGATGCCATGAAGAAGAAGCTATCCAAAAGCAGCGTCCCGACATTTGTTTGCTTTTATGCATGTCCAAGAACTATCCACAGAGCAGTTGTTGGGACTCGGGCGCTGGAAGAGTGTCCAATTCTTGCCCGAGAAGCTGTTCCACGAAACCCACGGGATTCGCACCCAGAGCTCCCACCTCTCCGCTATCAGCTTTTTTTTTTGACCTTTAAAGGACCATGCCATACAGGCAGATAGGGGGGTCCCCTCCCGTCCCGCAAGGTCGACCCGGCTGGTGACCATTTGCCTTCTTTGGGCCATGTTTGACCCCACAGGGGGTCAAGAAGGTTTTTCTTAGGTCATGGACATGCTGGGTACCAAAAAAAATAGATTTAAAAAAACAAAAACAAAAAAACATAAACTTACCGCAAACACCTCTAAGAGGGTGAATCAACCTCTGGCCATGCTCCGTTTTTGGTTGGGGCCCCAAACCTGAGAGCAGCTGGTTAGGGGTGGCTGGGGCTCCTCCGCTCCTCGGATTCGGTTCCGGGTTCCCGGGGCTGGGGATCTCACCTGGGCGCTGCTTTCTGGGCTGTCCAATGCGATTTTCTGCGGTTCTGGTGGGTTGACTCCAACCAAACGGATATTTGGTGTCGGTTGGGTAGCGGTTGGGTAGCGGTTGGGAAACATTTGGTCCAGAAACATTTGGACACCCAACCACTCCAACTCAAAGCACAAACCGCCTCCGGATGGCTGGGAACCCTGAGACCCCAAGGGTCCCCGCACCCCTCCAATGCACACGGACCAATGGGCCCTGAAAGGGAGAACCTATAGCCACCAATTCCTCTGGAAACAGTCGCAGTTTTGAGCCCAAACTCAGTTTTTGGACCTTTTGGGGCAGGGCTGGTTTGCTAGGTCCAGCTAGGTGCACTTTCTCACCAACCTTTCTTGGGGGAGGGTTCCACTTCTAAAATAGACTCCCCCAGACGATTCCATGGAAGCTCCAAAAAGGGACCCCTTTGGAAGACATGGTCCCATTTACAGGATCGGCCTTCTGAGAGCTTCCGGCTGTTAGTCTGAGAGAGTGTACCGAAAAAAGTTGGTGGCCTCATTCTCGCCTCTTTACTGGAGGACCTAGTGAAGCCGTTGCCAGGACGCCGCTGCCCGAGGCTTGCTGAGCATCCTGGACGCGCGGCGCAAGACATTGTACCTCACGGAGCTGCCCAAGGACTCTCTCACAGCCCAGAGTCGAGGTGACCTCTTGACGAGGTCACCGGGTTTCACCGGTGAAGGCCATGTTTTTGGGCTTGGTGTGTCTGTTTTTTGGAGTTGGTACCCCTTTTTGGTGGGTTTGGAAAAGGACCGCCCAAAGGAAATTACAATTTTTGGGGGTCCCCTAAAAACAGGGAGGCGTCACAGTTGGGTGTGTCTCACCTCTGTGTTCCGTTTCAGACTTTCGTCACTTTTTGGGTTTGTTTTTTTGAAAACAATAAAAACAAGTTCTGGACTGATTTGGACCCATCCACTCGGGAAGCGAAGCGTCTTCTTCTCAAGAATCGGAGCCCTTAGATGGTTTGGTTAGGACAATCAAAAGGGTCAAACAAAATCACATCCGCAATTTCCGGTTCCAAAAAGGGACATCCGGAGCGAACCGAACCGTTGATTTTCCCCGCCTTTTCTTGGCTTCCTGGGGACTTCTTCTTGGTTGAATGAGCCTTGAACCGCGGATTCTTGATGGGAAGAATGAGAGGTTCATGCCCATATTCCGAAAAGCTGCCTGGCGACCGCCAGGAAATCGAGAACGCCAAGCGCTTGCACGTGGACGCAGGACCACGGTTTTTGTGCGTCGCTTCGAGCCTGTTCCGCGAGCAAACAAGTTGAGGATCGGAAAAACACCCTGGGCCAATTGAGATGATGAGACTCAGAACAGCGGTGGTTACTTTGGTGCATTTTGCCAAGGGCTGTTAGGACTTTAACTTTTTGCCAACTAATGGGTTTTCCACTAAACCACTAAAAGTTAAACTTTTAGCAGGGGAGCAGAAAGCAACCGAGGTTAAAGGTATGAATCCCCATTGTTTTTCATGGGTTTTCATCCAAAGCGCAACTTGCAGGGGGTTGCCTGTTGAACATGTTGAACATGGACATGCCCAATGCCCACCAAAAGTGGGAGGCGAGTGAAGGTTCTCCAATTCCATTGAGAAACATGCACGAGTCTCCACGACTCTTTGTCCCAAATCTGAAACACCAAGTTTGATGTCAAGAAGCAGTCCGTGGGAAGGGGAGTTGGGCTGGCTCCAAGGATTTAGTTTCAGCACCCGTTTTCATGTTTTCACCGTGCTGGCAAGAGGACCACTTTTCCAGGCTTGTCCAAGACATCAACGCACTGCAAGCAGTGCGCTAGAGACAGCTTGCTGTGATTTGTTAAGGCTTGGCCCGATTCGGCATGTTTTGAGCAGCCTTCCTGCAAGGTTGACACTGGGGGCTTGCTTTTAAATGGACGCCCGAAACCGGTGAGGGTCCTTTTCTCATGAAGCCAGCCTGCCGCAAAGAGACATACATCTGTCTTTGTCATCTTCGGAGTGGTCGGCTTTGGGCTCACTCCCCAAGCTAGCTTTCGTGCTTGGAAAAACAAAGGCGTGAACCTCAAACCGAGCTCAGGTAGGCTATGACCACAACGGGACAAACCCTAGTTCCCCCACTTTGGTCCTTGTCGTCCTAAGTTACGCTCATCCCGCAACGCTGAGCCAAAGGAAATCAAGCGCCCTTGACACCGAGCTGTTTAGCCCATCCACTCCGCCAGCAAGAACCCAGTACCTCGGGGGCTGTCCATTCGCCACGAAAAAACAAAACAACATCAAACAGAAGAGCGTCTTCCAGGCTTCGGGCGGGCTTCAATGGCCAGGCCTCACCCTTCAGGAGTTTACTACAACATGGCATTTGATAGCTATTGGGGGGGGGGGTTCATAGCCATAGCATTTCATAGCCACCAATGGCATTTTCCATGCTGGCGGGCGAATGGCCAGGACTATAGCATTTGATAGCCATATACAGACATACATACTGTGGATGGACAAAGTCCTGCACCACTTTGAAACCATGGGAAACCATGGTTTGCTGGCATTTGCAGGGGAGTCATCATTCCAGGGTTTCTTAGGTGGTGCAGGATTTCGTCCATGCATAGTATGTATATGTGGCCATTGGCGGGTTGCAGCGCTTGACGTGCTGGATTCGGGTTCCACGTCTTCCTGCGAGGAGACATCACCCGAGCGGAGGAGGCCTTGGAGGTGGCACAAGCCCACGATCTCTTGCAGGCGAGACATGTGACCGCCACCCAGTGCCGCCTTGTTGGCTCGATGTGTTGTTGTTGCTTTAACATGGGTGTGGCTCAAAAATGGGGGTCCAAAATGGAACCATGGCAAATGGAAAGGTAGACCAAGCCTGCGTAACCCCGGCTGTTTAATTTTGAGCCACACCCATATATATTCCAAGAAGAAACAAAGCAGTACCTGAGTTCCATTTTGGGCTTTTGTCATTTGGCTTGGGCCATTGTAGTGGTTTGCCATTCTTGTTTGGGCACGTCAACTACTGCAGCCTTTGGTTGCAAGAATCCCAGGGTTTCACCCGGCTCTTCTAGTTCCCAGGGAGACGCACTTCGTCCTTCACTTGGCCTTCGAGGTCTCAAAGCCACGTTTCCGGGGATCTTTTTGGCTCTCAGAAGCGGTTTCGGTGCGGACCCCTCGCCTGAGAAATGGGTCCCTTCGAGAGGTGAAGGTTGGAATTCGGTGCTTTTTCGGTCACAAGGAAAAGCCGCTGGACCGAGAAAGAAGCCCATTTTGCCAATGGCTAACCTTCAGCCATAAGGAACCGAGAAAAAAAAAAAAAAGCCATAGGTTTTGACCATTGACCATGGGTAAAGGACATTCCTTTTTGGTAAAGGGCACCCTTGGAACACAAGTGTCCGGAGCACGCGGTCCTTCAAGCTTGAAGACAATCAGCTGCCAAGGATAGCACCCCCCAATTGTTTTTCTTCACTGTTCTTGGCATGTCTTTTGGTTTTTAGTTTTTTGGTTCTGTTCATGTTTATTGGGGTCTGCAAAAAACAAAGTTTTTCGCTACCATACCAAGAGTAGACATGTTTTTGGACAGTACTTGCAATTTTAGACATGGCTGTGGTTGTCAAAACGTTTGGGGATCCCATTTTGGGGTAGGTGCACCACCCATGTTAGAACCTGTTTTAGTGGGGATTGGGATGTTCACTGGGGGTACGATTTGAGAAAAACAAGTTCTTGGCGCGTGCTGGTGGAAACCTCCTTTTCTGAGCAAATATGTTGGCGGCAGCTCCCGCAGTGCTCGTGGAAGTTCATAGCCCCAGATCCCGGTTACCAGAGGTACCAGCCATTTCCCGAGTTAAAGGCTGGTTTCCATGGCTTCCTATGGATATTATCTTTGTTTGAGAGCAAGTATCCCATTTTTTGGGTGGTTTCAAAGCTTAAAAGCACAAGGAAAGGCTGCTTACGGCATGGGTATGTTGTTTGAGAGTAATTCTCCCTTTTTTGGTTTTAAAGGAAAACGAGGAAAGCCGAAGCTGACATTTTCATGTTGGTTCTCCGATTAAAGAAAAAGACCCGCCCGTGGACATGGACTCAGCCATGCGCCTTTGACGCTAGGGGGCTGTGGAGTGTGGAGATGTGCAGGCGGGGGAGCACTGACGTCATGGGTGTTTCGCCGATTTCCCATGGAAATAATGGCAAGGGGACCTAATTTTGGATGAAACTCGGGTACACAATGGTGGTTATGTTCTTGATTGCTATTGGGTAACGGATCTTTAGACCTGAACTCTTTGGTTGCAATCAAGGGTTTTCCATTGAACCCACGCAAAGCTAAGATGGGTCAGCAGCAACCAAGTCTGAACCCCCACTGTTTGAATGCATTGAACCCCAAGGGGCCAAAGTCCAGGCGTTAGCATGCGTGCCTTGCTTGCTTGAGCCCGTGCAGATAGCGTAAAGCAAGCTTACCCATGGGCACATTCCGCTGGGGGCCAAACTGGCAGATCCCAACATCCCGCATGTCTAGTGGGTGAATCCTGATCATGGTATCCCAGCTGCGGAGTAGGTACAAGGGTGGTGGTGGTTGAGAGCCCTAGCGTTCCTTTGGGAGCCTCAAAGAGAACCGCCCCCCCTGCGTTCCCTGAATCTAGTCGTTGGGCTGGCTCATTCAAACTCATGGTCGACGGATCGGCGTTGAAAAGCCATCAGAGGGCGAAAGGCGTCAAGTTCATCCATAGCCTGGAATTGGATTCTGGGCTCCAACCGTAGCGATGTGTTCTATGTGGGTCCACGAGTCAATCCTGTTTGGACATGGCACCTCTGTTACTCTCTCCCTGGAGTTAAATCGAAAAGCTCCAAATGGTTTCAATTTTGTTGTTGCATGTTAGTCATCCCAAACACAAACATGTTTGAACAAAACAATGTCAACATAGACGTTCCTGGATTTGGTGTGTTTGTTCCCCCGATTTTAAGAATTAAGGTTGGCCTTAGGACCAAAGCTGAGGCCGTTGTTTGGCCCTGACCACGTGGGAAGGCGGTGAAGGCCGCCATCCAGAACGCCCGGCGCTGCGAGCATTTCAAGGACTGGCACCTGCAAGACCAGGAGAAGCACATGGAGCAGGCGCAGAGCGGCAAGAAAGAAGAGAGCAGCTGTGGGAGCACATAACTTGACTGCTATTGGGTTGGATCTTTAGACTTTAACTTTTTGGGAAATCTATGGGTTTTCTACTAGTGTTTAGTCCAGTTGCTGATGTTTTTGCCTTTTGTCTCCCCCTGTTGATTTTAAAGGGAATCTATCCATACCGGAGCTATGTTCTTATTTTTCTATAGTCTTTCTTCCATTTGCTTAAGAATATGTTTTGATTGTTGCCTGTTGGTTTTAGAGGGAATCTATTTAATTTGTTCCCTGCTGGTTTTAAGGGGAATCTATCGCTACTCTTGTTTATGTTTTATTCCAGGGGGCTTCGGCAAATGGGAGCTTTGGGTTTGGATGGTCACCGACCCCCCCTATTCAGAATTCCTTTTCAGACCGCCCTCCGATTTCCACCGAGGGAACCATGGCCCGACAAGCGGCGTTTCGAGTGGCTGGGTCCCACATTTCCAGTATGCGGTAGCGTCTTTTTGGGAGGGACGTCGATTTCGGCTCAAACGTGGCAAGCCGAAACCGGGGGGTCTCTAGCTTCCCCATTCCCATGAGTCTGGCAAGTCTTGACCGCACATGTGAAAGGGTCCCCGATTTTGGCAGATGTAGAATGGAGACCCATGAAACGAGTTGTTCGCTGTCAGAGCACATGAATGAGAAGCCATGTTGGTTGACTCGCATGCCTAGACCAGTTATGAGCATCACTACGTACCCCAAGCGGGGAAGTACTCAGGGTTTGGAAAGGGAAACTGAAAGGCAGCCCCACCAGCTTTTGGGGCCCCACCCAAATAGCCTCCTGTCCACTTCCATGTTTTTGCAAAGGCTATGAACGAGTGCTCTGTAAGTCAAAACACTCGGGACGTCCTAAAGCTTGCTGAGGTGAATCCCATGGAAAGTGCCCGCCGGATGACAGGCCGAACTATTTCGGCGCATCAGCGAGGCTTTGGCGGCCAACCATTTCCAGGACTGATCCCAGGTGGATTGTTTTGCGGTGGATTGTTTTGCGAACCCCCAAGCATTGAAAATTTGGGAAGGGCCCAGCTGGTTCAGACAAGGAACTCGCGACTCAGGTTCACCTAGGTCCCCCAGGGTCGTGCCCTTTTGCCCTTTTTTGGGGGGCAGGGTTCCCCTGTTAAAATAGACTACAGAAAAGCGGGTACCCTTATTCCACCTTCTCTACTGGAGCACAATCGTATTTTTGGAAGGACCGGGGCCTCGCCTTTCTCTCATGGCATTCGATGTACAGCATTTGGAAATTCGATGTACGGCTGGTATCGTTGAGCTGGCCCGTCGGGTATTATACCAGCATCTTGTTCAGCATGTTGTTAAAATCAAGGCTTGCTGTCAGACACCCACATGCAGAGTTAAAACGGGACCCTCTTTTATGCCGACATGTTTGCATGTATTTTCTTGTGGGGGAAGGTCCATGTGATTTGGGTGTGTCTTTTTTGAGGGACTCAATGATGTCCACCAGCGGGCCCGCCATTGTTTACACTATTCCATTTCTCCTAATCATCCAAATTGGGACCAGTTCCAGTTGCACTCCAAGGAAGCAGCCAAACGGGTATGGATCAGCGTGGGGACCCTAAACATGGCGGTGGTCCTTTTCGTTTCCTTTCAGCCAACCTAAAAACGGTACCCTCAAAGAAGCACACACCCCAGTGTTGTTTGCCAGGAAGCCAAACAGCTTCTGCAGAAGTGGAAGGCTCGCGACTTCGCGGGGAGCTCAGCAAGCAATTCTTTCGCAGACCGCGCTCCTTCCCCGGCTAGGTCCCCAGGTAGTGCCAACTTTTACCAACTTTTTTGGTTGGGAGGGTTCCACTACCCAGCTAGGTGCCCTTTCTCACCATTTATTTTTTGGTTGGGAGGGTTCCACTAAAATAGACAAAACTGAAAAACAATCGGGTACCACTCGATTTCTAACCTCTCAAATCTGGACCTAGACGCTCGCTGATGCCCAATGCGTGGGACCCCATTTGCGATCGAAACCAACGATGGGCACCTGGCACCGCCCATGTGGACCTGTCCTCAAGGAGAAAAAGGCTCCTCGGCGGCTTGCAGCTAACAGTCGGAACTTCCTCCGATTCCTGGCACCTCTTGGAGGGCACCCGGAAGATCAACCTACTCTCCAAGCCCTCGCCATGTTACTTCCCCAGAATCCGCTCCCCCTTGTCCTTTTTTGCTTTTTCGGGGTTCCCTTTGTTTTCCACGAACCAGGCAAACATATTTTTTTTGCTGGGGTCCTAATTCCAGCCAAGGTTAGTGGAAGCCAGGATAGCTCTCAAAGTGCTCTCCAACTCTTTGGCGGTTTTGTGGCCGCTGTTTTGCATCGCCTGTGAATGGTTGCAACTTTCGCGTTGGACTGAATAGCTGCGACTTTCCAGCTGGAACTGCGGGAAAGCGCTTTTTGCGGTTTTGCTCTGAACTGTACCAGTTGTTTTCTTGTCAAACACGGTTTTGCCGTCACACACCCATGCAACAATGACCCTGAAACAAGATTTCTGCGGCTTCGCTTATTACATACACTCACAAAAACATCGCCATGACAAAATCACAAGCAGAAGGGGAACCCACCATTTTTGGGAGTTTGGTATGTTTTCCCCCCCCCAGCCTGGCAGCCCCGGTGGCCAACATGTGACGATGTGTTGGGTGCGGTGAGATTTCAGCTACTCCCTGTGTGCGATCAGCCCATGTTGAGCTTATCCAGCAAGGAGACCAAATTGGGATGGGCAGCTTAGCCTTTCCAGAGCCTCCATGTTGCACCCATTCCAAACGGGGTCAGGGATGGTCATGGCCTTCCTGGTGTAGACGAACCATGGCCACCATAGACAACTGCCGGAGCGGCCACGGAACATGTGCCATACCTCCATGCATATTACACAGCTATGAACATAAAAATTATGTCTGGGTGCGACATAGGGGGCCCCCAAAATGCTGGCCTCCCCTTTGGTTTCCCTTGAACGCCAACCGTAAAAAGGCCCCCTAAACAATCCACAGAATTGCACACATGTACATGTTGGTAGTTCTGGCGTTGGTATGCTGTTGGTGGGCGTTTTTGCCCAAAGCCATTCGTCAGGACAAGGATGCCATTAAGCAGTTGGAGGCGGGAAGTGGATTCAAGCTGACACTATAGGCCATGTAGATGGTTTTGAAATCTGTTCGCACCAAAACGTTGGAACGTTTGGTATTTACATGGAAATCGAATCATTCCAGGGCTTCTTGGGTGGTGCAAAGTTGTTTTATCCACAGTATGTCTGACACGAGCTTTGAACTTGACTCTGGGGCAATCAGACATGAGCAGTGAAACAACATTCAAAGGATGGCAAGATGACGGCATGAAAAACCAACCAGCTCAGTTTGTGTCGTCAGGAAACAGTCAAGGGTGATTATTTAAAGACACTTGGAGGATGTCCGTGGTTGTGTCTCAAAATGGGGGACCCCCCCTTTTGGTTTTAAAACGGAATCCAACAGGAAACCACTTACCTGGAGAGGTCCCTAATTTTGAGATTGGCCGGCGGAGTCTGTGAAGGCCATTCTGGGGCCACCAGCAGTCTCCCCTTGGTTTCTCTTTATGAGCTATGACCCCTGCAAAACTGGGGTGGTAGGATACATTTTACAATTTACCAGTGACTCAAAGTGAAGCAAACAATATAATATACATTCTATGACTGGGCCTGACTCTAATCATGAAAAGGGATCACCCTCGAAAGGCATAGCTCAGCGGTGTTTGAATAGGCCGCCGTGCAGCGCGCGGATTCGGAGATCCTGAAAGACGCGCAGGCAGGGTTGGTCGACCTGCCTTACATGCGAGACTTCACTCCAAGAATCCTGAGCCCTGCATACCCCATAACTTGGTGGCTCCCAGCCATCCGGTTCCTTAGCTTTTTAGCCTTTGTTTAGTGGTAGTTTCCATTTAACCCACAAGAGTTCAGCTTTTAGCTGGGGATCTGAGGGTAGCCCAGATAAGGGACCCTGAAATGAAGAAAACCGACCCCTGAGGGGCCCTTGAAAATTAAAGAACAAAAAACGCTTTGAGGGTCCCATAAACCCTCGAATCGGCTCCTTGAGGCATTTGTGTAGACATCCTCTTGGAGTTATGCCAAAGTGGTCGTGGGTGGCAAAAGGAAGGCTCCAATCATGGAGGCGGAAGGCTTTGGAAGACTACTGTTATCTTATCTTCGAAGGGCCTTCTGTCCACGTCATTGTTGGAAGCAGGTAGTCGTTACACACCTTTTTGTGGCATCGCCCCAAGCACCTCACTCCTCCCAAATGCACTTACGCACACACACACACGCACACTCTTGAATTGAAGAACAACTATAGAGTTTGTTTTGGGCTTTTTTGAGGGAACGGAACACAAGATGTGGTTTTTGTTGAACCCTGGAAAACAACCCGCAAAGGGGCACCGTCACAAAAAGGAACCATGAGTCAGACTTGGGCCGGTAGAAGTTTTATCTCGTCGGAGACCATTTGAAAGGCCGCCCGGTTCAGAAGTTCAGTCAAATTGAGCAGCAGGGATGCTTCTTTTTGCATCCTGCGTGCAACACAACATGTCATGTGCTTTGTTGTTCGGTGGTACTTTTGGGAGGTTTGGTGAAGCCCAAAAAATAAACGAAGCCCCATATCGAGCACCGAGGCTTGTTGCCATCTTTGGTTTTGGGCCTTGACATAGGAACCCGAATCCTACGGTTGAACGTTGAGCATTGGGGTTGTCCACTCCCAGTCAGACCCATGGCTTCTCCAATCGCCCAAATCATGGCCAGAGCATTTCAAAGGGAAGCTTCTGTGCCGGTTTTACTTGCCTCACGAACATGGACCCCCTAAAAAGGGGAGTCTTTGCAATGAGAAACCATACCAAAAGGATGGAACAAAGGGGTTCCAAATGTAGTTCTGCATTGTCGGGAACGTCGCTCCATGTACATGTTTTCCCATGTTCAACTGGTTCCCCCTAGGCATTGGTAAATTCACCGCGAAGATATTACATGCAGTCCCTTGGAAGCACCATGTTGGAGGATTTTGAGACAACCTAGCCTCTTGCAGGACACTGTTCGTCAGGAAACACTCTTCGAACTTACATTGGTGAATACCACTTGTTGTTATAAAGGGACCGAAACGGCCCAACGAAGCATTGGCCCAAATGGTTTGTCCAGACTTACGAAAAGTGAGACAAAGCTTTTACTTTTGCTGGGGCCTTGGACAAATTTCCAGCCATCCGGGTCGGTGAGCATGTGGAGGGGTTCTCAAACTGTATTTTTAGGAGCGAAAGAGAAAAACGCACGATCCACACGAGGATAGCTATTGGTTTTTTTTTTTTTTTTTGGTTTTCGAGTCCCACCTAGCAGGCGATCCTTGACGGCTTGAAGCCTCTCACCTTCAATGGCAAAGAGCTCACACCTGACAGCGCTGGGCTGAGTTTTTCTGGTTTACGAACGCAGAGACTGCCAAGTTTACACTCCACCCAAGAATCACGGAAGCCGGCAGGAGCAGGGTTTTGGAGAACCATGTGGTTTTTTGGGGAGGCCCCCCTGTCCGCTTCCATGATTGGATGGGTAGTTGAACCCCCCTGAAGTTTTTGAGCCAGCCCTTGAGCTGGCACCAGCCACCAACCCCCCCGGAGTTTTGTTGATTCACCTACCCGATGTTATAGGCATCCGTCTCGAAAGGCAGAATTGCATTGTACCCGCCCAATGTTGGTCGGAGCCTCCCCCTTGCCTGTTTTACTTGAACCCTCAACATAAAATACTAGGTTGAAACCTCTGAATTTGAGTTTAAGCCTCCCACACAATTTGGGTCGAAACCTCCCCGAGTTGTCCATTGACACCTTTTGCCAAGTTGGGAGTTGACACCGGGCCAAGTGTGGAGCTGGCTCTCAATTTTAGCTGAACCCCCCCCTCCCCCATTTTCTGCGGGTGTTCCCCCCGATCATCGAGCCCTTTCGCTGGGCTGTTCGAAGGCACTTGGGTTACGCAGGGAACCAAAATGGTCCGCTGTGGCTTCCCTGAATGAAAAATCGGAGTGGCCTCCAGTTTGAACAACTTCAAGGGTTTGGTTACAGGGCAAAATCTGCCGGACATGACCCCAAAACACCCTAAATCAGCTGTCCAGCTTCTTGTCAGTGCCCTCGATTCATTTTATTGGGTGCTATGATTCATTGTGAAAATAAGGGCACTTAGTCCTAAATCAAAGAGGTCACTTAAGCCATTTGAAGGGCACTTACACCCTCAGGGTTGCCCTCCCCAGCAGATCCCTCCTCAGCCCGGGCAAATCGAGCCGCAACGACACGTGAATGCGAATGACACTCACATGGGGGCGGGACCGATGCTGGGCAAATCGAGCCGCAGCGACACGCGAATGACACTCACGCAGGGGGGACCGACACTAGCGTAAGTGACCTTTTCAAGGGGTAAGTGACCTCGATTCGCACCCCCCAATGACACTCAAATGACACGCTTTGACACTCAAAAAACCATGTTCGGGCTTTCCGGGTCGGAGCCAATCAAATGTGGCAGTTGTCACGCTTCGACACGGGTAGCTCTTCGATTTCAACAGAATCCCAACTCCTGTCAAGCCAAAAAGGGCACTTAGCAAACGAATCAAAGGGGCACTAGGGGCCACCGACACTGCCTTAAGTGCCCTCGATTCAAAAACAGGCCAAGTACCCTCCATTGGAGGGCACTAAAAATATGCTGGGTCTTCCTGTTCAATCTCCTGCAATAACCGTATTTTCCTGTTGAGTTTCCTGAAGAATTCCATGAATTTCCTGAAATGACCCCAAAACCACCCCACCTATCCAACCCTTTGAACCGCCCCCGCTTCGCCCCTCATTTCTTTCTCGCGCGCGCGCCCGTCGTTTTTTCCCCCTCTTTTTTTCCTTTTTTTTTCTTTTCCGCTCGCGCGTCGCGGAGGTTTCCAGCAGCTGCATAGCCTCGCCGCCAGCTTGCGGGACTGCGATGTGCCGGGGACGCCGAGCTTCGCGGAGTTTGTTTTCTTCTTTTTTCGGGTGGTTCCACGGAGAGACTAAATGGCTGTGGGTCAAAAAAACCGGAGTTCCACAATGGGTTGCCCTGGTAGGTGGAAACATGGACCAAAGCCTGCGGTTTGCCCCTCCTGTTTAATTTTGAGCCACACCCAAATGGCCATGGGAGACCGAAGCCCTTTTACCTTCCAGTGAACATCCCAATCCAACCACTAAAATAGGTTCTACAATGGGACCCTTGGTGGGGCCGAGTTTCGCGGAAAAGGTACAAGGTGGAATGGTTCGACGGAGAAGCTCAAATTGCCTCCACTAGGCCCCCCAGTAATGTTAACCCCGGATTAATAAAGCCCTGGTTGATTTTGATCGGGGGGTGTCCCCGTTTAGTGGGGATTCATCACTGTTGGAGGGAACACCCCCCCAATAGTGGGACGGGTTTATTTATTCATCCCGGGTCAACATTAGTGCTCTTTCTCACCGGTTCTTTTTTGGGGGAGGGTTCAACTCCAGAATAGACTACAGAGAAAAGGGTGAAGGACCTAATCTGCCTCCAAAAGATGGCTTTGTCTGGTGAGTTTCGTAAGCCGATTTCGTGGCTTCTCTGGACTCAGTTGGTGATAGGCCCCAGCCAGTAGTTCTCACCGTTTCTTTTTTGGTTGGGAGGGGTCCACAAAAATACACAACAGACTCAAAATCGGGTACCCTTATTCTAACCTCTCTGCTGGACCTGGTAAATGGGTCTGCCCCCAAAAGATGGCTTTGGTCTGGGGAGTTAAAAGGTGCCACCAAAACAAGGGTTGGGTCCTTTACCTATGGATGGTCATCAAAGTTGGCCCTCAAAGAAATGGTTTTTGTGTGGTGAAGAGGCAGGCCACTTGGCATACAAATGGACACCTCCCTATTCAGAAACTGGGTTAGATTGATATGGGGTCAACATTAGTGGGTGTCTCGTCCCTGGAATTCAGGCAGGCCACCAACACAAGGGTTGGGTTCAACTTTTGCACCCTTTACCTAAGTTATTGTCAGCAAACATGGGTCCTTGCCATTCTTGAAATCGGGGTTGAACTCTGGGGTTTCCTTTAAGGGGTCCCCCCCCAAAACAATGGCTTCGGTTTTTCTTTAGGGTTCCCCTTAAGACCACCAACAAAGTCTTTTTCAACCTGGTGCGACAAGTAGGGAATGACCGAGTCCGGGTTTTGGGAATGAACCGAAAGGGGATTCCTTTATAGGGAAACCACTAGTTGGATGGTTTCTAGTAGGGGTCATTCCATTTCTCATTCCCTGCTGAGAACCAGCAAGCTTTTCAGGGGATCGCCCCCAAAATGGCTTCGGTTTTCCTTTAGGTTTCCCAACAAAGGGGTACCAACTCCAACAAACGACACTCCGAAATAGATGGCTTGTTGGAGTTGGTACCAAAAAGAATGCTCTGGAAAACCAAAAGGAGCACCGAAGCTGATTTGGCGGTCCTTTAAAGCTCTGGAAAACCAAAAAGACAACTGAATCCAATTTCGGTCCTTTAAAAAAGGACGCACCCAAACGGTGTGGTCCAAAGAAGCTCACTGAACAAACCATAGCCAGTTGTGGGTCCCGGCAAAAGTTACCCTGAAGCCATTTGCGCCGTGCCTTTGATTGTTCCTTTGTTGGGACGGGGGTCCCTACAGTTGCCTTCTTTCCTTTTTTTTTTTGCACATGCCCCATGGCCACTGGGTGTAAATCCCCTGAAATTACCAGACTCAACTCACCCTTTCAGGCGACCGGTTCAAGGTTGCCAGGTGTCCATGTGTTGCCCTTGGCCCTTTTGGGCAACCTGAGGCCGAAGGGCCGCTTAGCTCCCCAAGCATGGGGCTGTGTCTTTTCAGAACCGAACTGATGGTCCTTTTTTGAGGTCCACCTAGGTAAAGGGTGTTTAAAAGAACCCAACCCTTGTTTAATGGTGGCCTGCCGACGAGACAGCCATAATGCTGACCCCATATCAATCAACCCCAGCTTATTAATGGGGTGGGGTGGGGGGGGTGTCCATTCCTGGGTTGCGTTGCAATCAGATCCCACTTTTGGAGGGGCCAAACCACCCCCCCCCATATTTTCATAAACCGGTTGGTGGACTTGTCCACTGGGTCACTACGGCAAATGGATCGAGAGCTCCGCGCGCGACCGTCAACTTGCTGAGGATCCTTCAGCTGGAGAGCTTCAGTGCCACCGACCCGGAAGCCAGCGGGCGAGGTGAGTTTCGTTCCTGTGGCTTCACTGCTGGACTCACTGGTCAGGCCCAAGCCAAGAACAAAGTCCCCCAGTGGTGCTTTTTCTCACCCTTTTTTCTTTTTTGGGGAAGGGTTCCCTTCAAACAGACTACAGAAACCAAATCGGGTACCCTTATTCTAACCTCTCAAATCTGGAGGACCTAGTAAAGATACCTCAAGTATGGTTCCACAAGTCCATTTTGGGATTCACTGGTAGCGTCCTGGATTTTGTTCTTTTTGTTCGGGGAACCAAAGGAATACAACCATCTTTTTTTTGGGGGGGGTCCCCTATTTTGAGGAGAAACCATTTGCATTTGTCCTTATACGATGTGCGCCTCGTGGGTCCCTGCCCAACCCTCTACCTGTTGCTTGTTGGTACTTTGGCGCATGAAGCCTCAAACTACCCCTTTAAAGTGGGGTATTGCAACCCGAAATTTTCCGAGTGGGTATCAACAATATTTTAGGCATGGGGTATTGCGACCCTAGGACAACTACTTGAAAATGGGGTGATGTCCCAGTTTTTAAAGTAGTTTTCCTAGGGTCCAGGTCCCTATGGGCTCCCAAAACAAGCAAAGGTGCCCTGTGTCTTTCGTGGAAATCCACTCGATGTCTAGCTCTCAAAGAGTGATCTTGTGCCAAGGGCCACAAAGCCTTCACAATTGCGTGGACGCCTCAGAGAGATGTCGAGCCGGTGTGGGCCACTGCAGTCTTGAGATGATGTCGATTAGACTTGCGTTTTAATGGCCGTCGAAGATGTGCCAACCCCAATGGCTGGCAAATGGCATTTGGCCCCCCCCCCCCCCCAAAATAACCATTCAGGGGCTGAGCTACCATACCATTGGAGAGTTGTTGGGGACCCGGTCCTGTGGCAGGCATCTGACATGCCAAGGGTGAGCTCACGCATGAGACTGTCCTTTTAGAGTTGGAGTGCCTGCGAAGCGGTTCACTGCGTGCCTCTCACGTGAATCACATGCAGGCAAGACCTGGCGAACGGGCGAGCCGAAGCTGTGAAGTCCGCGTTGAGGAGTGCAAGTGGATGAGTTCATCCAGAGTGGGGACTCTGTTTTGCCCACCCCCAAAGTTTTGGGACCTCCAGTTCAAGCCTTGCTGAGGGGCTTCTAGGGGAGCGAGCAAGGATGAATCAGCTAGGCAAGAACTTCTCCAAGCACTAGACACCGGCCCCCTAGGAGCAAAAAGCCAATAGGAAGTGCTTCGAATGGCTCGCAGGAAGTTTGGCTGCAAGCACAGGATCCTGACGTGGGAGGCCCCAGCACCGAATTCCCCGATTCCGGGAGGTCACCAAGTAGATTGGAATTAGTTTCCTGAGGGAGGGCTGATTGAAAGGCTGCGATCCCTTTTTGGTGAAGGGCTGAGGTCTAAGATGCAGGGCTGGTTGCATTGTATGGATATGGGTCAAAAATAAACCACCAGGGAGCCGCAGGTTTTAGTCTATGTTTCCATTTACCCGGAATCCATTTTTGGGTACATATTTTTGCCGTATGTGCCATGGTAGTAGGATCCTCGCGATCCTTGATAACCGCAAGGCTGTTTCCAATTGAGAGAACCGTCGCAACATAAGCCAAAACGGAGTTTTGCCCATGGCTAAGGAGATGGTTTCTGTAGCGAGCTCTGGGGTAACATGAGCATTCAGCATGTAGAAGATCCCTTCCGGCACTGCTTCACAAAAGGAGCCACCTGCTCAAATCCCGTGTAGATGAAGGTTGATAAGGGACAATCCCAACCATAAACGGGTGCAGCCGCCTTGTTAGTTCTTGAAGCATGTTTCTGGGTCGACCATTTTAATACTGGGTATTGATTCTGGGGGGATTCTGTGTGGCGTGAAATGTGTTCCATTTAGTCCCAGGCTTTGATTTTGACTCAAATGTGGTGAGCCGTTGACCCATTTCGGAGGGGAAACCAACAGGCCACCAAAAAAGGGTCCTCCCCGTTTTGACATGCAGTCAGTCTTGTGATTCTGGGTGGTTCCTAGCCATCCCCCTAGGTTTTAGTTTGTTTTTCTTCTTCGGTTGGGTTTCCGAATTGAACCCACCAAAAGTTTCCAACACTTTAAGCAGGGGATCAGAAAACGTATAGCCCCGAATTCTGGGGTAGTGTTGTTGACTTTCCGAAAAAAATGCTCGCTTGAGGAAAGCCTGGGCCAATGCAGATCCGGGGATGCAGCGGTCAGTGCTGAGGAGCGTTGAGCAACTTGCCTGCGGTGTCCGAGGTTTCCGATATCAAAAAGAAGCGCATATGAACCAAAACTGTCAGGAGCTAGGGAAAGCGGACAAGGCTGAAGACGAACATCCTCTTCTCGTGAAAAGGCTTCTTGCAACTAGTTCTTTTTTGTTTGTTGGAAACAGGGTACGCAAAGTGGAGTCTCGGCGTTTGGCATGTTTTCATTTGAAATCGGTTTGGGGAAGTGGGTGTTTCCATCTTTGAATTACACCTCGACCAACCAAGTCGAAACAGCCCCCGTGTGCCGTATGTCCCTGAACCTTAGAAATTCTCCTTAACGGGTGGCCCCAAGTTGGATTGAAGGAAATCACATCGATCATGCTTTTCCTTCAAGTCTCCTGTGTTTAAACAATTGGACCGTGGCCCCCTTCAAAGGAAAACCCAAAGGAGGCTTTTTCTTGATTGCTATTGGGCTGGATCTGTAGACTTCAACTTTTTGGGAAATCAAGGGGTTTTCCACTACACCCAAAAAAGTTAAACTTTTTGCAGGGGGGTCAACAGAAATCAAGAATTGTCCAGAACGTGATTTAAGCATGTTTGCACAAGGGGATGGCCCAAGCTGCATATCTTCCTCGACTGACCGGCAGTTGGCCTGTGCGAGGATTTCGGCGCTGGAGAAGCCGAATGGTGAGACTGGGAAGTGATACTGTGGATGGCCGAAATTCATTTCGCACCACCATTCAGAAACCCTGGTTTCTGATGATTTTTCCTGAACATACCCAACAAACGTGCTGGTTTCAACCATGGTCTCAGCCGGTGGTGCGAACGGACTTCGTCCGTCCACGTCCCAAAAATGGACCTTTCGAGCCCTCCGATTTGGCTCCAGCGCGGCGCGATGCCAGCCCAAAGTGGCGAAGGCAAAAGCGAACTCGGTGAAGAGAACAAGTTGGTGGGTGTAAAGCTTTCTAGCCGCCTTGTTATGGGGAAACAGGGTTTCTCAAAGTCTCACAACTAAGCAAAAAGGGTAGTTGGAGTGGGGGACTTGCTTTAAACGCGGCCTTCTTTGGGGTATCATATCAACCCTTTGTACAAAAAGGTAGGATAGCATTTGCCATGGGAAACAAGATTTCTCAAACAACAACAAACACAAAAGGGTAGTTGGAGTAGGGGACCTGCGTTAGTCGCAAAAACTTCGAGGGCTACCCAACCCGCATTTTCCCCGGAAGCTCACGGACCCTCTTCGAACGGGGGTCGACCACTTGAAAAAGAAAGGGACACCCAAAAGAAGAAGTTAAGAGCCAGGGGACCGCAGGTTTGAGTCTACTTATCAAGTTACCAGGGCAGCCCATGTTTGGCCACAAGTAGCCAGCCCTTTTGCGGCTAGGAGGGGTTCGCTGGGTCGCAGGCGGGCCAATGTACATAGATTCAGCGTCTCCCCCAACGGGGAGCCATTCAAAGCCAGCCAAACATCTGCGCGGCTTTTGGGATGCCTGAATCCCACAGGAGGTGCAGAGTTGGGTGGCAAAAATTGGGAGAACGCCAGAAGCTGAACTATATTCATCCTTCTCTGTTTTCGTCTTGCCCCCTAAGCAACATGATCATGTTCTTTTTTGTTGTTGCAGCTTCTGACATAGCACGCGACCCCCAAGATGTTCGTGGTAACCAAACCACAAAGCAGTTCTTACCCGGCTAGACCTCACTTGCCGATTTGGGGCCATCCATAGTGTGCCGCTCGGGTTCAAATAGGGTCCCGCCTGCATCATCGGAAGCTTCCCGGTTCTCACCCCGAGCTGAAGCATGAGCATCCGTGGGCCCGGTCTCCTCCCAAATTTCAAAAGTTGGGGGGGGGGTAGACTTCCAACTGAAGCAACCCCAGGCCAAGAAGCCAATGATTGGCCGCCCAGTCCTTTCAAAATTCCCATTTAGAATTTTGAAGTTTGGGGGGGGGGGAACTAGTTTCCTTTCAGGGATCCCTCCACCAACTCCATGCAGATTCCTCGCTGCGAAGTAGGATAAAAAACCAAGTCGACACCTCTCAGTTGCTCAGTGGCACCACTTTTTCCCTTTCTGTTTGGTGGCTGCCCACCAAAATGGGAAGCTTCCCCAAAACGGGTTCCAATTATTTTTCCAATGTCACTGAACAACTGAGACCTCGCACGCCCCCCCCCCCAAAAAAAAAAAAAAGCAGGCGCCGAAGAGGAGCGACTACTCGGACCACCTCTTTCCCAACCTGCAGGACGCTCCGCCGCTCCGCCGGTGGTTTTTTTTTTTTTTTTTTTTTTTTTTTTTCGGCGCACACTTTTTTGGTTTTTCAGATGAGCAGCTCTAAACACAGGGACTTTTTTGTGTTTTCCAGATGAGCAGCTATAAACACATGTTTTTTCATGTTTTTTAGAAAAGAAAACCAGATGAGCTCTAAACACCTCCGCGTAAGCAACTTGATACGACATAGGGTCTCATGGGAGGTTTATAGTGTCGCTCAGATGCTGCTACCCCCAGATAAATCTATAGCAATACCCACCTTGTTCAAGGGCTCGATTCCCCAGAGCTCCTGGACTTTACGAGTTCATGGACTTTACGCTTTTTGGAAAGACCACGATAGTGGCACTCAAAAAGTTTGGACTTCTTTTGGCCAATCCTCCGAGGAAGTGAGAGAGTACATAGGTGTCCTTTTTAGGGTAGTGTGGTCAAAAATAGAAGACACTGGTTTAGATGCATTTTATTCCATTTACCGGGGCCATCTCTTTTTCCAAAAGGACACCTTTGAGAGAATATGTTTTTCTTTCTTTTTGTTTTACAAATAAGGATTTTGTAGAGTAAATACCTCCTTTGTTAGTGACGTGTTGACACAGTGCTGCAAGAGCAACGCAACGCATATTTGGAACAGGACGCCAGTAGGCCAGTAGGCCAGTAGGCCGCAGGGACCAAGCGACCAAACGACCAAACAAAAAACCGAGCTCGCCTTTTGGTGTGTGGTTGTTATAGTGGGAAGGCCAGGGGACTCCTCTCGGGTGCTGGCGAGTAGAGTGAAAGCTGTGGGTCAGAGGGACCGGTGCCTTGCACAAGTTGCCCAGCTCGTGGTTGTTGTTGGGAAACATTGGAAACATGTTTGCTTCTTGTGGCTTGGTGCTTGAAATCCCCCACTAAACCCCCAACGTCAACCAAGTGTTGCCCGGTTTCCTCTGTGCGGAAGGGACTTTTGCCGTTTGAATCAGCCAAATATATTTCTCCCATGGCCACTGAGGCGCCCATCCCGCTTAGCCCAGGGCCAAAGCCACAAAGCCACTTCGGAGAGTTGAAGCCTGGATACATCCTTTAGGAGAAACGGGCTTGTCTCTAAATGACGGAAAGCGCAACATGGATGTTGTTTTTCTGTTTCCCAACAGCTCAAGCTGCCTTCAGCAAATGTGAAATCACCCAAGACATCCTCAAGTATTCCAAAAACAAAAGCAAAGGTTTCAAGCACACGTTCGGGGCAGCCATGTTGCTGACCTTTCTTGTTGAGTCTTCGAGGTGTTTGTTGGAATCTTGCATTTGACTTTTGTTTTGTTTCAAATTTCCGTGCCGGACAGGTGACAGGCTTGGACTTTTGACATTGTTGGATTTATTGGAATTCTAAACTGTCCTGCATTTGTGTATTTTGCATTCACTGATGGTTGCTTTGGCATTTCCATCCGGGACCGAGTTGCTGTCACCTGGTTGTTTGGTTTGAGGTTTGTTGTGCTTGTTTTGCGGATTGTTGGATTGAATGAAGAGTTGTTTAATGACTTTTCATCGAGCACATATATGTTGCTAGGACTTTTCGGATTTGTTTATTGGGAATTCTTAAGATGTCTGGGAGTTTTGGATTTAGTGCAGACTTTTTAGGAATTCCCATCCCACGCAGAGTTGCTGACACTTTTTGTTTGGATGTCTTTGTTTGGGCGTGCTTTAGATTGCATTGATTTTGCGAAACTTGGATTGCCCCCTGCGAGCTTTGATCAGGGGTGGAGCTTGTGCCTACCTCGTTTTTTTCGCTGTCGTTATTTTACAGTATTTGTTACTACTGGTTAATCCTTGCATGTCCCAGCACAAAGATGTGGAGCAACTCAACGCTCACAGCGCTGCTTTTAGCAAAAGAAGATCAGAGATTGGAAAGACAGCACCATCAGGATTAAGTTGGCTGCTCTTGTCTCATCTCTCGAAATGTCCCCTCACCCACTCATTTTGTCTTGCGGCGATTCCATGCTCCCCATTCATATTTCGATTCTTCATCTCGTTGCATGCGCTTTGCCTCCGCCCGAGGCCCGCTCGCCCCATTCGCTCCAAAGGGGGGGCGGTCTTGATTCCTGTGGCTCTCCATTCTATGGCGCCTTGGGCCATCGGGGTGACCCTAAACCCCAAAACTGACCTTGGCGGCTCCCAGCCATCCCCTTAGCTTTTTATTCTCTAGTGTTTAGTGGTAGTTTCCATTTAACCCACCAAGAGTTAAACTTTTAGCGGGGGATCTGAGGGCAGCCCAGTGACCGCTTCCAAAGTGACACACCTCAAACTGGGCGCAGACCGGGCGCTCGGAACGCGGTCGTGGGCCGTTTTTCTAAAGCGTTTTGCCGAAAGCCGAATTTCGGCTGCGGGAGGAGTACCTTCAGGCCGAGCACCCGGAATGGTTGCCCTTCCCGAAGGAGGAGACCAATTTGCGGTCGACTCGGGGTTTGGATCTGGGTCCCCCAGCTAGGTGCCAACTTTCTCACCAACTTTCTTGGGGGGTAAATACCCGTAAATACCTCTGTTAGTCAGGTGTTGACACAGTCTAGGTCCTCCAGCTAGGTGCCCTTGCTTACCCACTTTTTTGGGGGAGGGTTCCACTAAAATAGACTACAGAAAAAAAGTTGGTACCCTTATTCTAGCCTCTCTACTGGAGGACCGTGGCGGTTGGCTCCGGAGGGGTTTAGAGGCCCCTGGAGTTTGCGCGACTTTTTGCTTTTTCGACTCACAAGCAAGCCGGGTGTGGCCATGGAACATTGTTCTAAACTCCCAGCCTTAGGGATGGAAGGAAAGAAGCCAAGGACCTGATCGACAACACAAGTCGCGCGGGACGGTTCATTCTGCGTTGTTGTCTAGGTCCCCCAGTAGTGCCCTTTTACCCTTCTTTGGGGGAGGGTTCCACTAGAATAGGTTCCGCTACCAAAATAGACTACAGAAGAAAACGGGTGGGTACCAACTTGTTCTAACCTCTCTACTCGACCTTGAGCTCGTGTTCAGAAATGGTCCCTCAAGCTACCAGGCTCGGAGACCCGTGTTTGCACCTGACCCTCGCTGTTTTGTTTGGCCCGAAGGAGACGTCTCATGTGTTTTTTGCGTTCGAAAGTGGCGTTATGAGGAATGTGGTTGCGGGCCACTCTAAATAAGTCGTGAGGAGTTTTTCGTGCAATCGTTTTGGCCCCTTCTTACGCAATCTGTTTAGGCTTGACCTTTCAGGTTTCTTTGGCGTTTGCGTGCTCACTGCTTAAGCCTTTTGCAACCGCGAAAAGGGGACAGTGGTTCCACTTTAACAAAGTGGTCGCTACATGCAAGCCAACCCACAATAAACGAATGGCCGGTTCTTCTAGGCTTTGTGCACAATTTCCATGGCTTAGCAAGCCAGTTCTCAGATTGACTCAGCTTATCAGCGCGTAACTAGCAACTACCTTGCCACGTCCCTGGTTTTGGTATGGTTTGAAAGATCAAGCAAGCAAGCAGTTGACACGTCGGCTGTACAGCTCAGAACTCAACAGACCAACAGATTCATGCATGGGTGAGAACTAGCAAGGCCTGAAAGACTGTTGTAGCTCCATTCGGCTTCCCTTCCGAGAATGCCTCAACGGTGGGAAAGCGATGGCTTCTTTTAACGCGCCCCACATCCGACGCCGCTGATCCATGGAGGCAGGGGGGGAGGGGTTTGGGGCAGGTTTGGGTTCTCAAAGTTTGGGTTCCCCGAATGGAACCCGTTTCCTTTTGGTGTCAGGGGGGTCTTGTTGCCACCTTTTGTGAGAAAATGGCCGACCCCCTCAAAAAAGGAATCCCTCACGACGAGGGGGTCGATCAATTGTCCACAAAAGGGGGCGAAAAGGCCCATCTGTTTGGTGTCCCTGAAAAACTATATCCAAAAGACTACCCTCAAAGAACGCAATTTGCAGCGCCCTAGAGTCCAGCCTTGGTTCCCAAAGAAGTTTAAATGCGAATCGTTCTCAAGGGTGTTTTGCTCCCTATCTGGAGCACCATCCAACAGGGGGGGCTCATACAGGTGGCTAACAACCCGGTCATGGAATTTCAGCCCCAAGAATGTGGGGAGTTGAAACCGAACATCACATTGTGACCGCAGCTTACATGAGTGGGCAAGATAACTTTGAGGGTGATACCCTCATGTTCCTGTCAGAGTGAACTGTTCCGACATCTTTGAAGGCAGTATCAATGGCGCCGATCAGAGTGATTGTTGGCTGGCAGTGTCTCAACATGAGAGATGAGAGATGCCCTTTGAAGTTTGACGTTCGCACAGGAAACTGATCGCAACCTTTTCGAGGGGCAAATGTTAGTGTTGTCGCGGCCAGTTGTTGAATCTGGGCAAGGTAAGGTGTAAGGACCCTGTTTGGATGACCTTCCAACTCATGCAGCGCTTGATATATGTTTGGTCCACACCCCCCCAAGTAGGACCGAGGAACGCAACCAGACCAAGGTTTCATTTGGTGACATGGCCTGATTGTTCCAGTGGACATACACCAAAAACGTGGTTTCCAGGTTTCATGCACCACAAGAGTGGATGGACATTATCTAGCTGGTGGTAAAGGAGCCATTAGCCGGGGGTATCCACATGTTTGCTTTTGAGCCTTTCGAAGTGCCGATCGGAGTGGTTGGGGGCGGAGGTCTTTTTTTTTTTTACCCCAAAGGTGGAAGCTCCCAACCTCTCCGAGGGTACGAGGTGCGAGAAAACCCGGAAGCGGCCAGGTGGCCCCTTGCGCCTCGCTGAAGTCACAGCCGCAGAGACCGCAGCGCGCTCGGGAAGTCGCAGGTGCTCGAACGCGTCTTGTGGGTGCCTCGTCTTTTTTTAGGAAGGGGACCCCCAAAGATTGCGGTTTTCCTCTTGGTTTTCTTAAAAAAAGAGAGAAACAAACACCAAACAACAGGTACCCGCCAAAGAAGACACACCTTTTTCTGGGTGGCTCGTCGTTGTTTTTTTTGGGCTAGTGGGTTGTTCTTGGTGGTTTGACCAAAAGGAAAACCGATGCCATTTGGTGGGGTCCGATTCATCACACACACCCACACAAGGGCCTAAAGAATTTAGAATGGGGTTGTAGTCATGGTTGGAGGCAGTCATTATTTAGCACCTTATATTTATGCAAAGCAGCTCTTTGAAAACCATCCTGACAGCCCAAGTCCCGACGTACAACCCCAGGATGCCGACCAAAGGTCCCCAAACCCAAAACTTATATCCATACAACCCCCCCTAGTAGACAAGCGGTAGATTCTGACCTGCCCTCCAAGTCAAAGCTCATGCGCCAACAGGTGTGTGACAAAAGCCATAGGTTAGTTGACCCCCCCTCCATATCCCCCCCCCCCCCCAATGTGATTTTGAGTGGCTTCGGGTCCAAAAATGAAGAAACAGGTTCATTTTGAATCTTGGGCTTGGTAGGCCTTGGTAGGGATCCCCAAAAAGGGCGGGGTTTTCCTTTTGGTCTCCCCAAACCCGTTTCCCAGGCGCCTTTCCGGTGCTTTTGCCCGCGCTGGGGTGTCCAACCGCTGGCGCCGGGGTGTGCCTGCGCCTCGGTTCCTCAAACCGCGGAAGAGCAAAAAGACAAATACGCCGAGTTGGCCGTGGCTCAAGAAATGGAATCCCTAAAATGGATACGCTCGTGTCGCGCGGGGTAGCCCTCTTTTGGTGGTTTGAAGGGCTAGGTCCTCCAGCTAGGTGCCAACTTTCTCACCAACTTGTTTGGTTGGGAGGGTTCCGCTACTAAAATAGACTACAGATACAAGTTGGTACCCTTATTCTGAGCTCTCTACTGGACAGAAAGAAAATCGGGTACCGTTATTCTAACTTCTCTACCCGCGTAACCTTGACTCTTTTTGCAATTTTGAGCCACACCCTGTTGTTTTCCCATGTGGTGCTTGAGGGTTTGCCGGATTTGCACAGCGGATCCCAAACAAGCTCTTATAGTAGGGTACCCTTCGCTATTTCCCTTTTGGGTTGCAAAGGGTGGCAAGCCCTTAGTTATTGTACAGGGAAATGGATCCAGTTTTGTAGGAAGCCCAAGTCTTTTGCTTGGCCAAGGAAAGCCAACAGGCGACACCAACCATTGGGCTCGCTATGACACAGACGTGCTTCTCGTGCCGAGGCAAGGGGGCTGTGCGGCACTGGCGGCCGCTCGCTCAGCGACTTTTCTCGATTTTTGCCAAACGTCGAGGCCCGGTTCGTTTTGGACGCAGTTGAAAGCGGTTGGACCTGATTTGACCTTTTACTTTTCCAGTTTGGGTCCATTTTTGTCAAGGTCCCAAAAGGTGATCACCTGTTAGTTCCCGGGTCCTACCCGGGACTGCCATGCAATCTGACGAAATCGGGGTCAAGGATTTGGAGACTTCCGGCAGACCCCTCCTCCCTTTTTTCATCAGAGTCACAATGCAAAGGTTGACCCACAGAAAGAAGTTGCCCCTTTCTTTCAATGAGTGGGGGGGTGGGTTATTACTCAGGGGTCGGCTAAAAGCAAAATTCAACAGAAGCCACACAAAACAATGCGCGGGCGGAAGGGCTTTGATTGGGGCCGCAAATTCGACCGCAGGCCCCCTCCCGAGATGCGACCCTAAGGACTTTACATGGAGGAACCAGGAGACGGGAGGTTGAACCCTTTGAATGAAGGGCCCTGCGGAACGGCAGTTAACCTGCTACCTTTCGGTCACATAACCCTTCAGCATAAATTCGGAATGAATGGGTGACAGAGTGCTGCCGTATTGCCCAGGTTGCCTCCCTTGAAGCGGTTTCTATAAGATCCAGCATGCAGAATCCAATTTAAGCACTTCATCCCCGAATCTATTTGGAGGACCCTGGGAAAGGTGGGTTTGTACGGGATCCAGCATGTTTTGAATTTGCAGACACCAATATAAGCACTTTATAGAGTGGACAGTTGCCGTCAAATGCCGATGTCGGCGCCTAGGTGTCAGCCCCGAGATCTAGGCGCCTACGCTGGGACTTTTCCCCTCCCCATTTTGACCAAAGTCAACAGCTGAGCCATGGCCAAAATTCTGGTAAGCGAAGGTTCAGAAGGGACAGTCTTAACCCTCCTGTTTAGTTCCTTACACTGGTTCGGGTAGACCGTTTTAATGCCAGGTTTTGATTGTGACTCAGCTGGCTATGTACTCAACATCCTCATGGACATGCATCTTTCGGGTGGTTGGGATCGGATAAGTTTTCAGAGTCGGATTCGATGGCTCTGCAACGTTGGTGATGTCTTCTAGCCACGCTGCACTCCAGTTGGAAAGATATGCTCCAAGACCTGCAAATGGGTCACACGAGCTTCACTGTTCTTGGCAAATTATTTGGTCTTTTGGAGTGTTTTGGTTCGGTTCATTTGTACTGCGAGGGGTGTGGGGTGGCTGCAACAAGTAAAGATGTTGGCTAGCATACCAAGAGTTGTAGAGTGAGCAAATCCAACAAGCCTTGGCTGGCCAAGCACGTCTCTGCTCCACCAGAGCGTGCGCAGGCGCGGCTCGAAGTTGCAAAGCGCTCACAAGATCAGCAGAGCGGGTCGAAATTATGCCAGGATATGCAGCGCAAAGTTTAGTCCATGTTTCCATTTACCAGGCAAACCCATTTTGGGTGCATATTTTTTTAGCCCACAGCCATATACCAGCTTAGAGTTAGGGTGGGCCTTGCCCATCTTTTTATGGTATCCTAGCGTAGCCCCCCCCCTACGCAAGAACAGCATTTTTCAACCATTTTTTCACTATTCAAATCGTCATCCTTATTCATTATGCATATTTCCACTCAAAACATTTCATAACAGTCTCAACCTCAAAATCCATCAAAAAAGTTACATTTTTCTCATTTCTATTCCATCATTCTTGTCATTGTTAGGATGCTTGAGTGGAAATAGGAGTATAGGGTGGTTCATATGATATGGTTATTGATGGTAGGATGCATGGGCAAGGTTAAGCTCATTCAAAAAAAAAATCAAAATAATATTGTTCAAAAAAGTAATATTTTCAAAAAATAATATTTTCAAAAAATAATATCTTCAAAAAAAATACTAATTCAAGAAATAATAATTCAAAAAAGTAATATTTTCAACAAAGTAATATCTTCAAAAAAAAATAATAATTCAAAAACTAAAGTTTCAAAAAAAAATCAAAAAATAATATTTTCAAAAAAAAAACATCAAAAAATAAATTTTCAAAAATATTATTCCAAAAATTATGATAAATTATCTTACAATATGTTTATCATAAATTTTGTAGAAATATGATGGGCAAGGTTAGGTAGATAGAATTTTATAACTTAAGTTCAGGATAATAATTCAATTGATAACCATTAAATTGTGTATATATCTTATCTCTTTCATGCATCATTTTAAAAATAATATTAATATTTCTGACGGTATTTATCATTTACAACTACAATTACAACGACAACAATAAGGAATGATATTTTCTATTGTATGAGTTAATTCATTATCTTTTCGTTGTGCTGTTAGATTTGTAATGATATTACCATTTTTCATATCAATAGTAAAACCACATGCGCAGTAATTGCATTGATTATTTATATTGTCTAAAAACCACTGTGTATTTACATAACCTTCTTTAGATATGGTTCTTTTTGCTTTCCTGTCCTGTTCTTTGTAATTTAATATTTTCCTTTCAAAATAACTCATAATACATTTTTGATTAAATACATCATCAATATCTTTTGTATATTTATAAAATTTAACTTTGTTTAAATCTCTACACCTTGTAATTGCAGTCCATATCCATTCTGGATAATTCTTTACCAAAAAATGGTTATAATCAAAAATTGTTATGGTATCATCAATGCTACTGCCTTGGGCAGAATGACAAGTTGAGCAATATGCAAATATAAAATTGCTTCTTATTTTAGCAACTTCTACGGATTGTAAAATTTCGGTTTTGATATTCTTTAATGTAAATATTCCATCGCTTCCGATATGAACTATTTTATATTTGAAATTTACATTAAACACTGATGTTTTAGTTTTAGTATATTCCCTACATGTTAAAAATTCGCCTACTTCGTATTCATCTTTTCTATTTTCTAATTTTCTAATTTCATTTGAGACATTTTTACAAGTTGTATTTAAAAATGCTATGTTGTTGTTAGAATTGCTTATGTCAGTTGTATATTCGAAATATTTTTCAATAACTTTCATAATAGGTAATTTATTTTCAAAAATATCAAATTTAATATTTCTTAGTTTATCCTTATCTTCCTGTGTGTTAAGTCTCTTACATTCTTTTAACAAAATATTATATTCAAAAATGTTATCTATAATATTATCAGTATATAATTCATAGTCTCGAGTATTTGTTATCTCTTGAACTGGTTTTAATTGCTTGGTGTCTCCCGTTGCTATTATAATTTTGTTGTGTTTATTCTGCTCTACAAATTGTTTTATTCTCCAATATATATTTAAATTACTGAAATAAATTTCATCAAATACGATTACATCAAATTCTGTAAAATCAAATGGTTCTAATTTTGCATCGCCGTAGTTTATTCCAAAAAACTTATTTATAGTCATTGCTTCACCTTCGAATGCCTGTAATAATTTATTAGTAGGACAAATAAATATTACCTTATATTTTTTATCAACCATTTTTTGACATATATATGATTTTCCTGTGCCCGGTAGTTCGCCCCTGATCATAATAGGGTTATTCTGTTTAACAATTTCTATAATGTTATCAGTGTCGTATTCATCTTTAATATCAATAGTTTTACTTTCATGAACTGGTATTTTAATTAGATCATTCTTAACAACTTCATATTTTACAGTAGGAAGATTAATTTCATTGTCTCGCCCAGAAACTTTCCAACCTCCTATATCATTATGAAATTCTAATAATTGCTTTGCTTTCTCTACATTGTATGAATCAATTACAAAAGCATCGGTTTTCACACTATATACATTAATATCGTTGATTATTAATTTGTAAATGTCTTGGTTCATTTTAAAATTATGATGTTGCATGAGTAGTTCTTTAATATATCTATAGCCGTTTCTTAATACTGCTTTATCCCTTAATTTTAATATATAATATGATGCTTTTATATTTCTTTCATCTAGTTCACGTGTATACTCTTCATACTCATCCTCGCGCTCTTCGTCTTCTGTACCTATACGTGATAACCTATGAATTTTGCCTTCTATCTGTGATAACTTATGAATTTTGCCTCCGTATTCTGTTTGATAATGGATTGCTTCATCAATACTCTTAAACAAAATGCTTTGATGCGCGGTAGCCTCTCCCTTCTCTAATAATCCAAAATTGACATTTGCTATTAATTTTTTACTTAGTATATCATCATCATCATCATCTTCATCTATAGTAGTTTTCCAAAGTTCATTAACCATATCCTTATAGTTTGTTTTATGAATAAACGAAGGTTGTTTATAATATAATACTTTAATATTATATTGATTAATAAACTTTTTTAAAAACTTACCATAAACTAAATTATATTTTTTATTAAACATTAAGCCCTCTTTATTCCCCAGTACCGTTTTTGTCATTATGAATTCAACTTCTTCTTTTGATTTAAATTTTAAACTTTCCTCCAAAAGATGCTTACGTTTAATACGTTCCATACTGTATTTATTTGGTATATTCGGATAGTTAACTTCAATATAATATAATGTTAGATCGTGGAGTTCATCAATATTAATTGCATCATTGTATTCTTTCCAATTGTCAAACTGATTAAAAACTGGTATTTCAGTAATATCTATGAAACCTTTTGTAAATGCCTTATTTTCATCGATTTCAGTTTTACGCATTAAATTAAATTTATCCCATAATAATCCCGAAGGTGCTACAGTCCTTGTTTCGTTTCATATTTTTATATCAATGTCATTATAAAAAGATTTGTGAGATAAAATAAATAAAGATTTATTAAAATTAAACATTGCTTTATTCATATTGTTGTACATAGTTTCATTATTTGCTGCGATCCAACCATCACTGGATGATTTAATTAAATTTTGAGTCTTTATGATATATGTTATCTTGTTAAATTTGACTCTAATTTCATCAATAATACCTGTGTATTTAATTCTGGGTTCATATCCAATATTTTTCAACTGGAAAATATTTCTGCCAAATCATTATCTTCGGGTACTAAATATACTTCCCTTGTTTTATCATCAGTTTTTATTTTGAGTATATCATCTATACACTTAATCATTTTGTATTGCGGGGGTTCCTCTCTTTCATTTATATAATAATCAGTGTGTGCCTTTATAGTGGGTAGTTTTGATATTACTTGTTTTTGTTGTATTTTGCTTAAATCGTGGTTTAATGTATAAATATGGGTATTTTTCACCATAGCGTAAAATGTTTTAATATGACGGTTTCTTATTTTTGGGTTATATTTGTAAATAAGTTCATTTACAAAATTAAAAATTCTAACTTGAATATTAAACTGCTTAAATACTGCTTCCATTTCTTGAATGGTTGCTCCTACTTCCTTAAAATCATTCCTACCTATGATTTCAATAATTTTATCTCTGGTTAGTCTGTTGCGGGTTCTTTCATTCATGATTGTATCACTGTAAAATTCAGTTAATGAATTTATCCAACATTCATTTTTAATATAATTGCCTTGTTTAATTGCCTTTCGTATAGTGTCCTCACTCATTTTTAAATGTGTATATATATATGCATGGAAAACGGATACGTTAGATGCATCTCTTAAATTTTCTGCTAATATATCAAACTTTTCACCTGATTTATTCATCATCTCCACGGACAATATTTTTATACCATCTAAGCCATATTCCTGATTTTCTAAATGTTCCTCGTGTTTGGCAAACTCCTCATCGTTTTTCATTATTCTTATTATTTTTGTAAATTCTGGATTTATTTGTTCCATTTCTCCAAAATCAGTATCCATCGAAACACCTGTTTTTTTCAAAATTCTTTTGCGAATAAATTCCTTAG